CTCTCACACTCTCAAGCGAGCGCTGCTTCCACGTTCGGAAAAGATGCCCTCTCGGTTCCAATCCACTCGGGTTCGCCAAAGCTTAAGTTTCCCCGGAGACGTCGGTACGTCGTTCGGACCTGGGCATGACGCATTCACCTGCTCGAAACTGCACATCTGGCAGTGCCTTCCCCGACTGCGGGTGAACGCTCAGGCGCTTCGCTCTTCGGGCTCCGTATGCTTCGCCGCACTGTCATGGCTGCCAGCGAAGCACGGAAGCACAAGCGGGCAGCGTACCGCACACCATGCAGAGCACGATGGTGTGCTCGTACCTAGCTGCATCACACATGCTTGATCCAGAACGTTAGTCTCGGGTTCGGGCGTGGTCCAACAGCTCACCAGGGCGATGGTACCGGTCATGACGTCGATAACTCGGTACGATCGCCCGACGTTCCCGAAGAGAGAGGCGGCCAATCATCCGCTTATCTACATGAGCGACATGGCCGTTCATGAATGCAACATGAACAGCGTGAGCTGCGTGACATTTCATGAAGTTCCCGGCATTGTCCTATCTCCCGACTACCTTCAGAGTGAGAGTGCAGGCTGGGTGAGAAGAGGTCGATAAGGGGCCGTGCAGGAGGTGTTTCAGACAAACGGAGACCGTGGGAAAACGCGAATCTGCAAGATCGCTTCTCCGGACGAGGACGAGGGGCGCAACGGTCATGGTCGACACTGAGACAGTCGGTGGCGGGCGCTACGGCCCGGTGGCGCCCTTGGTCGCTTGCTGTGCTTCGGAGTCCGCCGCCTGCGCAAGTCGCAGCCAAGCAAAGCTGTATGATTCTGGTGACCCGTTCCTGCGAAATCAACCTCGCTGACTCACTTCTTCTCATCACAGTGCAGTGCTAGTCAACGATTGAGGGTCCACCTCCACGGTACTTTCCTCCTAGCACATTTGCAGTGCCCTCCTTGCAGCAGACTCACCGCCATCCCGTTCCTAATCAAGTCTAACATTACCTCGTTCATGTTTCGGCCACTCGATCTCATCTCCAACACAGCGAGCAGGAGCACATGCACTCTCGCCTCCGCTTCTGTCCCAGTAATCAGTCCACGTGGCTATCCGTTGCTCATGAGCCAGCCCCCGAGCGCAATTCTCGTCCAAAAACAGGACGTTCTCGTGGTGTAGTGGTTATCATACTCTCTTAGGGTGATCTAACATCTTGAGCTTTGCCTCCAGCTCCTCTTCTGAGGAGTGATTGGGAGTGGCCCCGGGTTCAAATCCCGGCGAGGACCTTTTTGACATCTCCCGGAGGTTCTACGCATTGGACAGTCGTTGGACACGAAGGGAGATGATTGTGGAAGACGATTGGAGAGGTGGAAAGGGTCGAACGTGATGGCAAGGAGATTTCGGGGGTGGAGGTGGAGGTGAGGTGGAGGTCGGGCGTGCCTGGATTTGACCGCAGGTTGCTTATCAGCAGGTGATCGAGGAGCGCGAGTCAGAGTGCACAGGCGCCGTCTAACAGTTTGATCAGGAGAGTTCCTTTATCATACGGAACTGCATTTGTCTTCCAAGCCCTTTCAAGCGATTCACAATACGAATATTTATGGGGGTTACGGTGAGCGATTACTGATCATACCTTGGGGGGAATCCCGTTGACTTCAAACGAACGGCTAGCCACAGGAGCAGCAGCTTAATATTGCCAGCAGTGGAGGTACGGCATTGCCTTGTCGCTTGTGAACCCGTTATACTCGCATGTTTCGGGCTGCATCGAGTCCACCTGACACTGCCCGTGGACCGTACCGTCGCCGTTCTTCTCAAATATGTTGTACGTGTTCGTGCCTTCGAGGCGCCAGAGATCCATCCAAGCAGCGTTCGGCTTTTGCGCATAGACGTAGCCGGTCGGGAATCGGCCACTCCACTTGAAGTGCTCCATCGCTTCGCACTGACTGAGATCACACCAGTTGTGCCACCCGTTGCACGTGTAGTAGGTTTCCCCATAGTCGCCCGGCGGATAGGCGATGAGACGCATGTAAGAGCTGATGGTGAACTCGCCTGGCCAGCCCCAGAGCGTGGCATCAGCCAAGGAGGCAACGAGGAGGAAGAGGGAAACTCGCGGAAGCATTGCTTAGATTGGTATTGTAAGATTCTGCGCTCAGTTCCTGGTGCTGAGGGTTGTTGGGACGTGGGCAAGAGCGAGGTGGTCACCGCCACATGCACAAGTGGACTCACGAGGTAGGCGATGTTGGCGCAGGAGCGGTGCCCAAGATAACTAGGGAACCCGGTGTCTTATGTATCTCTCACAGAACCGTTACTGATACAATCGTGTACTTGCTCCACTCGCCTCTCTGCTGGACCTGGTCCACCCCTGTAGCGGAGGATGAGGAAGGGAGACATGGCCGTGACGGCATCGATTACATTCCCTATCCCGCCGAAGGCACACGCATCGCCACGAACTGTCACATGGTAGAACGCAATAGCTACAGGTGTTTCAAGAGGTGGAGTTCGTATGCGGCCATCCGCCGATGGTCGCGACCCGTGACGGCGCCGCGCAGCATGTGACGGCGCCATGACGCCGATACGTGGAGAACGGAGCTTGGCAGGCACGGCGTCGGACGCCGAAGGGTGAGAGCAAGACTTCGACCCTGATGCTGGAGAAGAGGGTGAGTGCTCGGAGCTGGAAACTTGCATCGGGGAACAGTGAGCTGAAGGGCGATCTGCTGAGGCTGTTCCTGCAGTCGCGCACTGCAAGCAGCTATCCTTGCGCGACATAATGCCGCCGAGCAGTGGCTACATCGTGGGCCGTCCGTAGCCCAATTGGTTACCTCTGGACAAGAGTTTGCATTAATTATCATTTAATTCAATCTGGTTTCCAGTAACTTTGGCTACATCACCACTGCCAGCAGTGCAGCATGGGCCGAATCCACAGCTCAGTGAATCCAGTGTACTGGCACGCCTCGCGGAACGACTTGTGCAACTGGCACTGGCCGTGGATGGTGCCGTCCCCGCCCCTCTCGAAAATGTTGTACGTCTCAGTACCTTCGATGCGCCACAAATCGATCTGCGCAGAGTTGGGTTTCTCGATGTAAAAGTTGCCGACTGGCATTCGGCCAGAATACACGAATTTGTTCAGAGTCTCGCAGCTCGGATCATTTCCCTTGTCGCCTTTGCACCACTTGCCCCAGCCCGGACAGAAGACGGACTCGGAGCCGAGCGATTGCGGTTTAAAGTTCGCCTGTAGTTCTTGCTTGTGGATTGAGAAGTCGTCCTCTGGCCATCCCCAGAGCTTGGCTTGGGTCGAGGACGACAGAGCGATGAGAAGCAAGGAGCTGTAGAGCATCTTCGGTGGTGAATGATATAAGTAAGTCTGACGTTAGAGGTCTGACTGTACACGAACAGGGGTAAGCCGCATAAATCGGGCGACTATGGCGCTCCGGAATCTGAACTCACAGTGCAAGTCAAGGAGCGCAGTTGGTCCTGGTAAGCTTCAACATAGAACGTCTAACCGTCTTATATGCTTCGGCGACGTGAGGCGGGCATCCCGGTGATAACGCCACTCGCCTGCCGCGCGCACTTGGAGATAGTTCTGCAGGAGCACTGTCCAGCCAACTTCCATGCCAAGCACTCCCAGACCACGCAGTCAGTCAGGCCCACTCAGCAATCTTTGCGACTTGCCAGACCTGCTGTATGCTTCTCTCGTAATTATCTGCGGTCATTGATGGAAGACCGCTGGTAGCACATGGAGCGACTGCCACGAGCGGTAATGGACCAAAACTTAGCACCAGCATGCTTTGTGGCACATGATGTCAAGTCAGGAGATTTCGAAGGACATTTGATCACGCGCCAAAGACAACCACGAGTGGGCCCTAGGAGCCGGTGGAATGTAATTATTGACGGCGTATCCGTCAGGGTAAAGAGACACATGTGCTGCACTCGTGTGAGTAGTGGGGGCATCAGGTACTTCCAGGCGTTCAAGCACCAATGCCGTCAGTGGAGTAGCAACATGTGGCTGTACTTCTTTGGCTCGGATGGAGCTCATAGTCAGGACCCAGCGAAAACTGCGTTGTACTAGATTGTCAGGCGACATTGGTGTGAGGCTATCAGTGGTTGTGACGACGGTCAAGGTTTTCATGCCCGCAGATACGAGCGGGAGGAGCGGGAGAAGAACAGGCGGTTGATCCAATCACTATCCCCAGGTACATGTAACTCGTGGATCACCAGCCAAGGATCCTGTGCAATGGAATGAGGTGATTGTCAGACTCTTCATACCCTGCCCTCTACTCCACTCGGTTCTCTCCGAGCGAGCGCCTAGTTCGCGACCTGCTTCTGCTTCCACTCGCCCAGAAGCTTCGCGCCTTCCTGCTCCACAACGTGCCAGATCTCCTCAACATCCTCCCACGTCGTCTTCTGAGCGCCAATAGCAAAGCGGATGCAGTACACCTCGCTCTCGACGGACTTGAGCACCGTCTGGGTCAGCATGACTTCAGGGCGAGAGTTCAGGCGATCCATGAGCTCGGCGTTGAGCGCATTGAGCTCGGGGTCCTCCGCCTTCGGGTCCGTAATGAGGCGGAAGTCGAGCAGTCCAAGAATAGGCGGGGCAACGATCTCAAAAGAGGCGTTGCGCTTTACGAGCGTCGTAAGCTGCTCGCAGTACTCGATGCCCTGGGTCCAGTTAGCTAGACGAAGCGTATGGGACTGCTCTGAGCACTCACGTTTCGGAGATGAGCCTGCAGGCCCTCGACACCGTAACCACGCAGGACAAACCAGAGCTTGATGCTACGGAATCGTCGGCCGAGCGCCAGCTGCCAGTTGCGGTAGTCGATGACGGCGCCTGAGTCGCCTTCCTTCGTGCGGAGGTAGGCCTGAATGTTAGCTCCCTGATCTAATCATACAGCTTCAGAGATCTGCCTCATTCCGTTGCAGGAGCACTTCGTAAACTGACCGGAGTGATGTCCAGCGCCTCAGTCAGGTCGCGCCTGTCGCGAACGAAAAAGAGCGCTGTAATGTTAGCTAATGCAGGACCCCCCTAGCTGCGCATGATACTCACAACAATCGAATCCGACGAGTCCCCATTTGTGCATGTTGGTGCAGAACGAGTCGGCGTACTTGTTGACCTCGTCGAGACGGAGCGGCTTCCTCTGCTCGGGAAGAGCGTACGCGACGCCGGCCCAGGCGGCGTCGACGTGAAGGAACGCAGTCGGGTAGTCCTTAACTGAGGTATCAGCTTTGACACGCTCTGTTCAGCTACTCACCAACCTCGCCGAGCTCAGCGATGTGGTCCACCGCACCGGAACTCGTAGATCCGACGGTACCAACAACGAAGAAGGGGATGTAGCCGTTCTTGACGTCCTCCTCGATCGCCTTGCGGAGAACATCACCGCGGAACGAGTAGTCGGGCGCATGCACCGGAAGAGCACGGCACTGCATGCCGAGGATGAGGGCGGCCTTCGAGCCGACAGAGTGCGTCTGAGTCGAGACGTACATGACGAGGTTCTTCGTGTGCTTCTCGCGCACAGAGAGCGGAACAGCCGTCGGCCCACCGGCCGTCTGCGGCGTGGCGGTGCCGCTCTGGGTGACGTGACCCGCGGCACCGTCGTGCCCCAGTCCGTTCAGAGTTTTGGACTCCTGTGAAGCCAGGTAGCGCAGAGCGCGCTCGCGAGCTGCAATGGCGGCGGTCAGACACGACTCGGAGGCAGAGTTCTGCCGTTAGCTAAGAACGATCACGCCCACCCAGCTCCGGGGAAGACGAGGCGCGGAGTGAAGATGATACTCACGCCGATGATGCCACCGCCCTTTCCGCCCGAGGTGCGGAAGACGGGGTCCAGCCCAAGGACCTCCACCATCCAGTCCGTCACAACCTGCTCGAGCTCAGTGCAGGCAGGCGAGCACGACCACTGTCTGTCAGCTGTCTCCAGTCCGAGTCCTGCAGCTTATTGCTCACAGCGCCTTCCTCAGTTAGGCGGAGGAAGGTCGTTTGCCAGCGCGCTGAGCCGCGTGCAAGCGACGTGAAGGTGACTCACGTTAAAGCCGGGGTTCGTGACCGAGGACGAGTAAAGATCGCCGAGAATCGACTCAAAGGTGACGACGGAGGGGAAGTATCCGAACCACTTCTGGTGCTGCCAGTGCGTGATTCCCGGCATGATACGCGCCTGGAAGTCGGCCGCGATCTCATTGAACGGCTGTCCCTTGGCCGGGGGAGAGGCTGGAGTTAGCTGTAAAAGTCATGCGCCTCGAAGCTATTGCGAAGCGAATAGGGAGAGAGAAAGCGAATGTCGGAAGTGATCAGAGGACGAGGAAGGCAAATCATGGAGAAGGACCAAAGACTCACTGGGCAGTTGCTCGAGGAGGTAGCCCGGCTTGACCTCGGACTTGACCGGACGCTGGTTCAGCGTCTGGTAGTAGTCACAGATCTGGTCGATGGCGGCATAGCCTAGATGTTCAACGGTTCACGAGTCGCATGTCGAGGAATGAATGTTAACAGTCGAGGTGTTGTCGCGAGGAAGACGATTGAGGAAGGTCGAGTCAGCTTACGCCCACCTCCACCTGCCGATCAAACGAACGCACCTGCCTTTCGAAATCTAGTCTGTCAGCCCAGTTTTCCTTTAGTCAAACTCACTCCTCGATATCCATTTTGCCTCGGATCAGAGATGGTCCAATGTCACAATCGAGATAGGGCCGCTATGTGATCGACCGCCTGAACGGGAAAACCAACGCGTCAAGAAAGTGGAGAGATAAGAAGGTGGACGGTGAGGTGATCGGGTCGTCTGGGTGGAGGTCGAAACCTCGGAACGCCCGAGTTTCGGAGTCGGGCGCCTGATTCCCTGGATGCCGACAGTTACCCGGACGGCAGAATGCCTGGACTTACTCAGCCAGCGGTCTGAGCGCTGCCTGTCTCTTCCGTCGGGACGCTGGACTGCTCTTTAAGACGTTCACATGCATATATGTATGGCGGCCGGGTACGGCCAGGCGTGTACTATGATACAATGGTTGACAGGCAGGTGTTGACTTTACGCAAGCCACGACCGCCAGGTGAAGCCAGTCGCCTGCACTTGCACTCGGCTTTGGCGGCGCGGCTGGATTCAATCCGTGTTGGACGTGTTGCTGCGTTGGGACAGCGCAGATGCGACCCTCTTGATGTTGGGCATTGCGCTGCCCATACCGCTCAGCAGCGGGCTACCGCGCGGCGATTGCTTCCTTGGGAGCGGTGGGGGAATGTCACTGGAGCGTCGTGAGGGAGGTGTGATCTCTCCGGGCTGAGCTTGGGCAAGCTGGGCGCACATGGCCTTGTACTTGACCAGCTCAGTCTCCATCTCCTCTCTAGCAATCTTGGCCATAACAAGTTCTTTGACTAGATCGACGTGCTCCGTGTTCATCGCCGCGACGCTCGCCTCGAGCGACTTGACTTGCGCGCTGAGATGACGGTTGGCGGAGCGCAGAGCTTCGACCTCGCGCAAGTGCGCCGTCTGAGCCCGGCACTTCTCCGTCCACTCGCTCTCGTAAGCGTCAAGCATAAGCGGCGTGCTGTAATGTCAGCTCTGTTGAAATTTAAACCGCAAACGTACATTCGCGCATCGTATGCGTCACGGACGAAGTCGTTGGTGCGCCACTCGCCCTGAGCGGCAGTCGGCTGGCCTTCGGTCTCATCCACAACATGCTCCCCTTCCTTGGCGCGGTAGACCTCGAACAAGTCACCGGACAAGTAGTGCAGGATGTCCTCGAACTCGTTGAGCTTCAGAAGCTCGTCCTCCGATCGACGAAGGAGAGCAAGCGAGAACCGGAACATGGCCTCGGTGCCCTCAGCAAGGACAATGTCGAACACGCGGTATACAAGCGCGAGAGGGAATCTGACGTCAGCTTAGCCAAGAAGCGAAAAGCATACCGGTAGGAAAACAGCGTCATGAACCACTGGCTGGCAAACATGGAACTCTTAATGCCCTTCCGGACGATGTGGTTGTGAAGAAGTGGAAGGCAGTCTTCGACGAGGCGATCGAACTGGTACAAGCGCAGCTGGAGTCCCGGCATCTCGGCAAGGTAGTGCGAGCGAAGGTTATACGAGTCCATGAGTCGGACCAGCACGCAGAACGCTTCCTCGTCAGGCATCTAGATGTCAGTCGGGCGTCTGTTTAAGAACTCACGTGAAGCAGCAGCGCTGCCACGACAAATGCAAGGCCCTGGGTGTAGCCCACCTCGCGGTCGTACAGGGAGTAAGCCTTGACGACCATAAACAGACTCTCCTGTCCGGTTCCAGTACCCTGGAAGAACTGGTGGTTGGGGAATGTGCGGGCAAGATCCTTGTGGATCGCCTTCTCGTGCGGAGAGGTAAGCTTGAGTAAAGCTTTGTACGTCTCCTCGAGCTCGGTGTCCTTGGCACTGGACATGAGCTGCCAGATAGGACCGCGAATGACGGGAGGGATACCCTGCTGGATAGCGCGAGAGAGTTCCTTGGGGCGCGTCCGGGCGACCTCTTCGTAATCCTGAACGACGGCGCCCCAGAAGGTCCAGTCAACCTCGTCTTCTTCGCCCGGGGAAGAGCCGCGAGCGGCACGGTCACGTCGAAGCTCACGAGCGGCGCCCTCCATCTCGTTGCGCACACGCTCGAAGCCCTCTCGAAGAGCTGTGTTGCCACCGGCCTCGCGCGAGATGCGGCGATCACGGATCGATGTGGGAGAGTCGATCTGCTTCAGGATGAATGCAGCCGAGCTAGATCCGGTGCGAATAGGGGGAGGAGGAGTGACGTTTGATTGTCCACGAAGAAGACTTGACATGGTGTTGGACATGGTCGTGCGCCAGTTGGCCGCACTGTGGCTTCCGGTCTTCTGATGGCCGGGCTGATGCTGAAGTGGGTCTGCGGGGGTTAGGTTATCCGAGCTGACAGAAGATGTGACCGGAGGGGTAGAAGCCTTATCGCTCGAGGCAGAGTCAGGGGCTGACTCGGATGTTCGAGCAACTGTGGGCAGAGTCACCGAAGGTAATGAGAAACCGCCAAAGGTCTTAGACGCAGATGCGAAGAACGTGGAGACCTTCGGAGTCTCAACCTTGAGAGTGTCCGGCTTGCCCTCACCTGTGGCATTCTCATTGACGGGGCTCTCACTCTTCGTGGCAGCATCCTTTGGGGTGGTAGCTCCGTTCGCTGTCTCCTCAACAGTCTCTTCCGAGGCCTTGCCCTTGCCCTTGACTTCGGAAGTGGTGGTGGTCGTAGGAGAAGTGGCGGAGATGGAGGGGCTGACACGGCCGAATAAGGAGTTGAAAGCCGACTTGACAGGCGACGGCTCCGGAGCGAGTGAGGTCGTGGGCGAAGCACTGTCGCCGTTGGAAGCTACAGATGAGAGGCGGTCGGTGTCGGTGCCTGAGGTAGCCGCAGCCTGAGGAGTGCCTTCCTCGGGTTCGTTGGTCACATCAGGTTTGGGAGATTCGACTCGCAGTTCAACATCGGGAGAGGGGACCTCAGCAGGCTCAACCACGGGCGTGGCGGCCACGATGCTGGGGCTCATCTTGACAGGCGAGATAGATCCATTGCTAGGCTTGCGCTCGGGCCCCGGCAGGTCGTCCTCGTTGAGTGGGACGCTGTCGAACTCCGTGGGCGTGTCGGGTGTTTCGCTCTTGATCGAAGGACTAGGTTCCAGCTTCGTGTTCGCATTGCTCGGGCTCAAGGTCGAGACAAAGCTCTCCGTGTCACTCTTCGATGCCGGGTCCGCGTCAGAGGGGGCCAGTGCGTCCGATGCCGTAGCACCCGTTGAGCCTGAACGCGTCATGGCCGTACCGTTCGTCTTGGCAGACAGAGAACCTCCACTCAGCCTGTTGCCGTTCTTCGGTTTGAAGGACTTTGGGTCGACGGACTTGAACGAGTTGGGCGAGGTACTGATGGGCGACTTGCTGAGCTTACCTCCGGGCGAGCTCAAACCTGGACCGGGCCTTGAACCCAAAGCATTGGGAGAGCCTGAGCGGGGAGAAGCCGTACTTATGGTCGGACGCCTTGCATTAAGACGCTTGGGCTGGGCTTTGGCCTTTGCTGCCGGTGCAGTGTCCGGCTTGGTCTCCCAGCGTGCGGCCATGCCCCTAACTTTGCTGGCATTCGGTTTGGGAGAGGGCGTTTTGGCCGACCTGTCAAGGGAGGTCTTGGGAGTGCCAGCGTCGGAGCCTGCAGCGTCCAGGCGGTCGATCTTGGAAGGGGACGACATGTTGCTGGCTGCGCCTGCGAGGTCGCAACAGAGAAACGGCTCACAAGATTGTGGGTGCTGTGGCAGCGAGCTCACAGCAGGGGGGAAAGTGGAGGGAAGGGAGGGGTGGTGGTCGTGCAGTGGTCGTTTCTAGCTGTTCTAACGATCTAGGTCGCCTGTAGGTACACTTCGTCGGGTCGTATCGTTCTTTGAAGAGGGAAAAGGAGGAAACAGAGAAGACAGGTGAGCAAGAGGAAAAGTAGGAAGTCGAGTACTGGGATAAGCGCTGGACGGGCCCTAGACCTTGAGCGCGAGCGAGGTCTCGCCCTGCGATGGTTCACGATGGATGGCACCTTACGTTGCAACGGGATCTTATTAATAGTCCAGGTACGAGTTCCATACTGTCACAATACCCCAATTACAAACGTGTCCTAATTGCGTCGCGTGTTGATTACCCCCAATTCAAACACGCATCGCGCGCTCAGCGTGCCCTGTACGCCCTGGCTGAGCTTGATCACTTGTCCTTCCGGAGCCCCGCCTGGGGTTTTACCCGATTTTTCCTCAATCCTCAAATCTTGAGCCGCCTGCATCATCGGAGTGTCCTTCCCTGTGTCGCAACATTGCCGTCGACCTCAAAGATATCACCAGTGAGTCCCTCATGTGTTGTTCATTGGCTGATATTCAGTGGTCGCTGATACCCTCTACTATGACCTCCTCGAGGTCCACGTCGAGGCCACTGCGGCTGAGATCAAAAAGGCTTACAAGAAGAAGGCCATGAAGCATCACCCCGTGAGTCATCACCCGGATTGCCACCGGCTGTCACCCCCTCGACAATGGGGCATCGTTTTCGATGCTAGGTCCGTCGTTGCTAACAGGCTATAGGACAAGAACCCGGATGACCCGACCGCCCACGAGACCTTCCAGGCTATCGGCCAGGCTTACGAGACATTAATAGACCCTAACGAAGTGAGTGCGGAGGCTCCGGGAGCTCGGGGACATAGCCCGTGTACACTCGTCGTTCTTCGCCTTGTCTAGAGAGTCGAGGACAATCCGTCGTTGTTGTTGACTGGGTGGAACGGCCTTTTAGAGCTTTGACGAGTGAAGCGGCCGATGCGGCGACCAGCGCGGTGTCTTCCCTGAAGCAAGCTAACAGCCAGCGAGCAACCTACGACCAGTACGGACCAGAGGGTGCGCCCCGCGGCGGTGGTATGCCGGACGACCTGTTCAACGAGATGTTCGGTGGCATGGGCGGATTTGGAGGATCCTTCGCCTTCGACCCGGCAGGACCCGGTCCGCGACCCCGGCGAGGACATGTTACGAACATCGAGTACAAGATCTCACTCGAGGAGGCGTACAAGGGCAAAAAGGTCATCATGATGCTGCAGCGTGACCGAATCTGCAAGCACTGCAAAGGGTGAGTGTAGCTGAGCTTGGACTCCGGCAGCTAACATCAGGCGCGGCGGACGTGAGGGCATGAAGATGACGAAGTGTGGCAAGTGTGAGGGCAAGGGAATCGTCTTCGCCGACCGTCATGTGAGTAACACAGCTGTGGTATTGAGGCCGTAGCTGACATCAGCTTGCTCCTGGTATCGTGGGCAAGGTGCGTTCGCCGTGTCCGGACTGCGATGGCACCGGACAGCACATCCGCGAGAAGGACCGCTGCAAGAAGTGCGAGGGCAAGAAGGTGCGGAAGGAGAAGAAGCGCGTCGAGTTCATGATCGACCCGGGAACAGAGGACGGAGAACGCATCGCGCTGCGCGGCGAGGGCGACGAGGAGCCAGACGTGCCGCCAGGCGACGTCATCTTCCACATCAACATTGGCGGTCACGGTACCTTCTCTCGCAACCCGATGTACCCGCAGGACTTGCGCGTGATGGTCCCGATATCGCTGTCCGAGGCTCTCCTCGGCATCAACCGTGTGGTCGTCAAGCACCTCGACGGACGAGGCATCCGCATCGTGAGCCAGCGCGGCGAGCGTGTTATCAAGCACGGTGACGAGGCCAGGATACGCGGGGAGGGCATGCCGATCCGCGGCGGAGGGAAGGGTGACCTCGTCATCAAGTTTGAGGTGCAGATGCCGGGTCCGTCGTGGGCGTCGCGCCAGGACGGCAACAACGTCCAGCTTCCGGGACCGTTGGACGACATCGCGCTTGACGAGGGCGCCGAGGTCGTTGAGCGGTATCTCTCATAGAAACGTAGATGGTGTAGATCAAATTACATATGTATTGGTACATAGCCCTAGAGCCTCTTCCTGCTGCACGATCATGCGTCGTAGTCCTCGTCAACCTCGCGCTCGGGCTCGGCGACGACCTCCTCCATCTCCTCATCCTCGCCATCAGCCTCCTCCTCACCATCCGCATCGCCCTGCGGCTCCTCCTCATCACCGTCCGCGTCGTCGTCGCTCTCGCTCTCCGAATCAGAGCGCAGGTCATCGTCGCTGAGAGCAGCTGTCTCCGGAACGAGGTCGAACGTGACCTCCGTCAAGCGCTGAGAGGGAGGGGGAAGGCGCACGACCTCGAACGACTCGGGCAGCGGTGGCAGAGGTTGGCTGTTCAGCTCGTGCGCGAGATTCACAAGGTACTGTACGTCAGCTTGCAACTGAAAACAACAGCTAAAATCAACTCACATCTCTCGGAGGCGCCTCGACAAACTCATGCCGCCGTCGGAGCTGGATGGCAAGCTCAACATCTTCCTTCTCAATCTTGCCCGGACCTGGTCGAGCAGCGTGGTCGGCGAGCGCCTGCGCCTGCTGCAGCACGTCACCGGTGTATCCTGACTGTCAGCTAAATCGCAAAGGTCAAGAGGTTAGCATGCTCAACACTCACGGTACGCAAAGTCGAGCAGCTGGTGGATCACGCGCTCGTCGGCATCCTGGATGCCCTTGGACGCGAGGATCAGCGCGAGCAACCGGCCATCGCGCGGGACTGATGTCAGCTTGTTCGGGAACTTACCAGCTACGTCTAGGCATACTCACTGGTCTTTGACGCGTTCGTCATTGTGGATGGTGCGGCCGACATCAACGGGGACAAGCTGAAAGATGAGCACACCAACAAAGCGAGCGTCCAGCGTTGTTGCGGGATCAGACCCTAGTGTGTATTAGAAGGTCCACGTGGTTTTTCTAATCCAGTAAGGGTAATGAGCGCTTGATCATCATTACAGGCGGACCCAGATGAATTTGCCACCCAGGGCACGTTTTCGAGCATCCAAAGAGTTTCAACGAGTTACTACACCCGGCCTCGATATCGGTCACTTGCTCGCGACATCCGAGGACTCTCGACGACGGAAAGCACCTCGTCCCGACCCAGCTCTACATTAAAAACATCGACGACGACCTTGAATCCGAACACGACCTCAAAACTTCTCACAACCGTTCTCCCGACAGACCTTCCTCGACCCCTTCCTTCTCCCCGCCCCTACCAATACCCTCGCCATGATCGCGCAGAATTCGCAAGCCGAGCTGCACCTCCTCGCGGTGTCTGCGATTGTCCGCGAGCTGATTGAGACGCATGAGGCGGCTTCATCGTCGACCGACCCGGTCAAGGCTCCCGACCTCTTCTCGCTGCGCAACAAGTACTCCCGCAAGTACAAGCTGAGTGCGACCCCGCGTCTGACGGATGTGCTCGCCGCGGTGCCGGATGAGTGGAAGGACAGGCTGAGGGGATGGCTCCGCGCCAAGCCTGTGCGAACAGCGAGTGGTGTCGCCGTCGTAGCGGTCATGTGCAAGCCGCACCGCTGCCCGCACGTCGCCATGACGGGCAACATCTGCGTGTACTGCCCCGGTGGTCCCGACTCGGACTTTGAGTACTCAACCCAGTCGTACACTGGCTACGAGCCGACATCCATGCGCGCGATTCGTGGACGGTACGACCCGTACGACCAGGCGCGGGGGCGCGTGGACCAGCTCCGCTCGCTGGGCCACTCGGTCGACAAGGTCGAGATTATCATCATGGGCGGAACATTCATGAGCATGCCCGAGGATTACCGACACCGGTTTATTGCGGGGCTGCACAATGCGCTCTCGGGGGCGACGGCGGAGGATGTGGATGAGGCAGTCCGCTTCTCGGAGCAGGGACGTACGAAGTGCGTCGGTATCACGATCGAGACGCGCCCCGACTACTGCCTCAAGCCGCACCTTTCCCAGATGCTGCGGTACGGGTGCACGCGACTCGAGATTGGTGTGCAGAGCGTGTACGAGGACGTTGCACGCGACACGAACCGTGGTCACACTGTGCGTGCCGTCAGCGAGTCGTTCCACATGTCCAAGGACGCTGGGTACAAGATTGTCGCGCACATGATGCCCGACCTCCCCAACTGCGGCGTTGAGAGGGACATCTGGCAGTTCCAGGAGTTCTTCGAGAATCCCGCCTTCCGCTCCGATGGCCTCAAGCTGTACCCCACTCTCGTCATCCGTGGCACTGGTCTGTACGAGCTCTGGCGCACCGGCAAGTACAAGAACTACCCGCCGAACCAGCTTGTCGACATCGTCGCTCGTATCATGGCCCTCGTCCCGCCCTGGACGCGTGTTTACCGAGTGCAGCGGTAAGTAGTTTCTCCTCTCTAGCTGGGTCTCCTTCGAAGCGTTAGCTGATATACAGTGACATCCCCATGCCCCTCGTCTCCTCCGGAGTTGAAAACGGCAACCTGCGTGAGCTGGCGCTGGCTCGTATGCGCGACTTTGGCGCCGAGTGCCGCGACGTGCGATACCGCGAGGTGGGTCTGCACGAGATCCACAACCGCATCCGGCCGCAGGACCTCGAGCTGCTCCGGCGCGACTACACGGCGAACGGAGGCTGGGAGACGTTCCTCTCGTACGAGGACCCGGAGCAGGACATTCTCGTCGGCCTGCTGCGCCTCCGCAAGTGCTCCGAGGAGGGCACGTTCCGCAAGGAGCTTGTCGGCATGCCTGGCGGGTGCTCGCTCGTGCGCGAGCTCCATGTCTACGGCACGGCGGCACCCGTGCATAGCCGCGATCCCAAGAAGTTCCAGCACCAGGGTATCGGCACACTGCTGATGGAGGAGGCGGAGAGGATTGCGCGCGACGAGCACGGAAGCACGCGCATTGCTGTCATCTCGGGCGTCGGCACGAGGGACTACTACAGGAGGTTTGGATACTGGCTCGACGGACCGTACATGGTCAAGGATTTGTAAGATAGATGGATGCATTGCTGGTTCTGTGCACGAAGGAAAATGCAAGCATGAAACGGAGGCGCATGCAAGCTGCGCGGAGGGGACGCATGCTGTGGAAGCACGCAGCTGGCCCCGGTCCCGGTCAGGTGGACGTTGTGTCCTGACCTGGCCGCGCTACCACTGGACCCGGCCTCGCCACCGCGCGACCTGGTCTGGCCGCCAAAGAACGAGATGTTGCCGACCTAAGGTCGCCACCCACCCAAACACTAATTCCAGTGGCCAACTGCAAGCAGCCGCAGACAACACCACCAACCACGCTCTATCAACACTGACTGCAACCCTTGGATCGGCCGCCACCGACTGTACCACCTCTGCACACGCAGTGCACGGCAACTCCGATCATACCCCGTCACGGCGACCACACCTGAGTTTCGACCAGATATTGCCACCATTCCAGGCTGTGAGCTGAGCGTCGACGACACCCAGCCCACATCCTGGAGTGGTGACCGTACCTGAGCGGACTCATTGGCAGGGTCACACACCCCCCGGACCGAGGGTTGCGCCTCGGTCTGGGTAGTCCTCAAGAGTTGAATCTCGACGACGTACCCGATCAAACTCTAACAGAGACATGGGCAGCATGGCACGTCCGGTCCAGACCAGCTGGAGACCAGAGCAACCAGACCCAGACCAGCTGGGGGACCCGGGCAAGTTGTACAGTGTTAGGCCGGATCGGCTGGACTCACCTGAACAACTTGATCCAGATTCTCTTGCGTATCGGGGCCGAGCGCGCTGGTGCCTACCCAGTCTGGAGGTAATCATAGCCAAAGCTGGGGTTGTGATGACCGGCACCGGCGGGCTGATCGTGGAGTCGTGACGTGGTACCTGGGTGTCAGCCATGGGGGTAACTTACCTTGAAGCAATCGTATCATCTTGCGCGTCTGTCGCGACGAGGTAACCTGGATGTTAGTTTCGGGAAGTTACTCACTTAGAAGGTGTCGGCCGCCTGCTCAATGTTCCAAGCCTCCACAACGTCGTACGACTCCGCAAGCGAACCGCCGGCAAAGTCGGCGTAGGCGAGACGGTGTCGAACTTCGTCGGCGATCAGGCAGGCGGCAGGGCGGAAGGCGGGGTCGGCCACGCAGCAGCGGATGATGAGGTCCTCGATGAGGATCGCGGCGGGGTCAGTGGGAAGGATGTCAGTGAACCACTCGTCAGTGCACCCCAACATCGTCTTCTCCCCCCAGTTACCCTTGGCCATCTCCCACCACCCCATCCCGAAGTAGAGCTCATGGAGCGTCGCACCGAGTGAGTACACGTCGGCAAGCGGTCCCCACCCCTCTCCGCCGAAGTCGCAGACCTCCGGAGCCATGAACTGAGGAGTGCCGATCTGCTCCGTGAGGACATCGCCGAACTCGATGTGCCTGCACAGGCCAAGGTCAGCAATCACCGGGAAAGGTCGGCCGTCGCGCTCCGTCACGAGAATGTTCTCCGTCTTGATGTCGGCGTGGGTGATGTCGACGCGGTGGAACTGCTCGAGGGTGTAGGCGAGGTCGGAGAAGATGCGCAGCTTGGTGTCGTTGTCGACGCTGTCGTTCCTCATGTAGTCGAGAAGAGCGCCGGCGGGGTAGAAGTCGTAGACCAAGAAAAGCGCGAGCTCGTTGAAGCAGTAGTCTTGGACGAGGGCGACACGGTCAGAGAAGTCAAAGTCAGCGTTCCTGAGTCTCTCCGAAGTCTTAATCTCAGTCTTAAAGGAAGCGATACAGCCAGAGTTACGGGGCAAAATCTTCAAAGCCTGGTCCACCCAGGAGCCGTTGACGAGGGCCTCGACGTGGTAAACGGCACCGAAGCCACCCTGGCCGAGCTTCTTGACGACGCGAGTCTCGCAGGGCGCCGGGTAACCCCAGAGCTCCTGCACAGAGCGGCCGATGTCGTCCTTAGAGAGCTCGTAGCAGGCGGAGCCGTATTCGCGGAACTTGAGGGGAAGCTCCTCGTCGGGGATGAAGAAGAAGCAGTCCTCAAGCTCGTCGATGCTGGCGTCAGTAGTAACAGCACGAGTGACCTGGCAGTCCTCAGCATCGACAAGGTCCGAGACCTCCGACGCCAAAGTGCAAGAGTCACTGGAAGCGGCGAGCTCGGCGTCCAGCGCCTGCGACTCGCCGAAAGAGAGAGAGAGAGGCCCACGGGCGGCATTAATGGAGGCAAAGGAACCAGAAACACAACCAAAGTCGGAAACAGAAGAAAGAGAAGAACCGGAAGCAGAAGACGAGCCAGACGAAACAACCGAAAGCGAAGAAAGCGAAGCGGGCGAGTACTCCTGGAAAGGAGAGAACTTGAAGTCGACGTTGTCGAACTTGCCAGTCATCTCGGCGTCGGTCTTGGGGGCAGCAAAGGCTACAAACATGTCAGTCACTTGCAAGCATGAACGAGGGATGGCGTATGCTCCTTGTCACAACTACTAGCGTGCAACATACGGCAGATGCGCGGGCGGCCGGACAGTGTTTGCCACCGTACTTCTGCCGCCCGCTCTGGCTGCTCCAGCGCCCTCCCACAGCTCCTGATAGCCCCGCAGGGCCGGAGGACTGCCCCAGAAACAGCTACAAGAGGGTGGTGGAGATCACCCCCAGGGACGAAGCAGCTGACGCTATGCGAGTCGCAGCAGGCCAAACAATGTTTGCCGCCCAACCATCCGCCGTCCGCTCACGTCGTTCCGGCGTCCTCAGACACCTCCAACGCGCTCCCCAAGCCCCGACTACCTCCCAGAGACCACTGAAGGCAATGAAAACTCACCGTTAACCTTGTTCGCCTGCTGGTCCTCGACCTTGGCCTTGACAGACTCGAAGTTGGAAACAAACGAGAACGACATCTTGAAAACTTGAGAGTTTGAGGTTTTTAGAGCGGGAAAGTTGGAGATTCTTGATCGGGAGATCTGAGATGAGCGGTTTGGAGGTTCTTACAGCGTTAAAGCCTTAGAAACGACGAAAGTAGTTGGGGACGGTGGGGAGAGCAGAGTTGTAGGGAGATTTCCCAACAGCGCAAAACGGTCTCTTGATATATCTTTCAGAGCCCACCGCTGCGGTCAGTATGTGGGGGCCATGGATACAGAACGCAAACAGCGGGGCCATTCTCGAGCGCGCTGCGTGCTGCGAGGACGTCAGCGGCACCGCAGAAGGGTTCGTTGCGATCGAGCATAGTGATCCCGCGATCGCGACTGGTAGGGTCTCGATAGGCGCTAGGCTCTTCACTCAGCCGGCATAGGGACCTGGACGGGACGCGCACACACGCCACCGTCCGAGCAAGCACGAAAGCGACCATGGAAGCAAGCACAACATGCATGCTGTCTTGTGTGATGTTGCTTTCATGTAGTTGTGGTGTGCCGGAGGGGTGGTGTGGACCTCGTGTTGAGGAGTCATCGAAGTGTTCAAGACATCATGTTGTACGAGTTGCAGATCGCCGCTGGCGGAAGGGGGGGTCGCGAGTCGCCGTCGAGTTCGTCAGCCCTATAAGGTCGTTCAAGTCTGGCCGCCGTTGTCGCAGCGCAGCGCACCCCTAGGGGCTCTGAGATCTGCCGCAGGCTCTAGTCGCTACTCCGTAGCCGCGCAGAGCCAATGCTTACGCAACTGCACTTACGGCCCATCGAGCCCATGCCTTTTGCGGTGATGTGCTCGTCGGTCGTACTCGGTTTCCAACGTACTCGGTCTCCGATGCTCTTGACCTCTGTACGCTTATGCGCCCTGCCTTCAATATCGCAGTGCGCTACGGGCTTTGAAGTCTGCAATGAAGGCTCGGCGGTGCGCACTAGTCGACGCCGGACGCCTTATCAGTGGGTCTGTCCTCATCGGATGTGTCGCGGTCGCCGGACCTCTTGCCGCCAGATCGTACTTGTTCGTCGCGCCTTCATTATCGCAGTGCGCTACGGGCTTTGAGGTCATAGGTGAATGTTCGGTGGTCCGCACTAGGCGACGCCTGACGCCTTATCAGTGGGTCTGTCCTCGCCAGAAGCGTCGAGCTCGTCGGACCTCTTGGCGCCAGATCGTCTCCATTCGTACCGCCTTCATTATCGCAGTGCGCTACGGCCTTTGACATCAGTCGTGAAAGCCTGGGCGGTGCACGCTAGGCAACGCCTGACGCCTTATCAGTGGGCCCGTTCTCATCCGATGTGTCGGGCTCGTCGGACCTCTTGCCGTCCAGATCGTCTTCATGCGTCCCGCTTTCATTATCGCAGTGCGCTACGGCCTTTGAGATCAGTGATGAATGCCCGGCGGTGCACTAGACTGCCAGTGGACAGCCAACGCTGACGCATCGCGAGGGTCCGTCCTGTCCGTCCTCATCGGATTCGTCGAGCTCGTCGGACATCCTGCCGCCCAGATCGTCTTCATGCGTCCCGCCTTCATTATCGCTGTGCGCCATGGGCTTTGAGATCAGTAATGAATGCTCGGCGGTGCACCAGTGTTCCGGCGGAAGACCGACGCTAACGCATTGCGAAAGGGTTCGCCCCCATCGGATGTGTCGAGCTCGTCGCGCCTCTTGCCGCCTCGTCGTCACCACTCGGACTGGCCTGTCATCGCAGCGCGCTACGGGCTTTGACATCTGTGGTGAATGCTCAGCGGTACGCACTGCTCCTCCGACGGGAAGCCGACGCTGACGCATCGCAAAGGGGTTCGTCCTCGTCGGATTCGTCGAGCTCGCCGGGCCTCTCAGTCCTCTGGCCGTCGGTAGACCTGCCTTCGCCATCGCAGCCCGTTACGGGCTTGGATTTCTGTAGTGAACGCTCGGCCGGGCACAACAGCTTTCCGCGAGAGTGAACACGGACGCAATATGGGTGATTTGAGGTGGTGGCAAGATTGCCAGACCTCCAAGGCCTCACGACCAGCTTATGCCTCCGCCGAGTAACGCGCTACGGGCTTTGAAATCTGTAGTAAATGCCCGGCGGTGCACGCTATAGCTTTCCGGCGGAGGTGCGGGTGGCTGTGACCCACACAGCCTGCGGGGAGCTCGTCGGTTGCTCGACATCGGCTCTCATCTGTCTCCGTCAATTAACGCGCTTCGGGCCCTGAGATCTGTAGTGATTGCTCGGCGGTGTACGCTATAGCTTTGGTGCGGGAGGCTGTGCCGCGCACACCCTGCGGCGAGCTCGTCGGTTGCTCGACTTCGGCTCTCATCTGCCTCCGTCGCGTAACGCGCTGCGGGCTTTGAGATCTGCGGTGAATGCTCAGCGGCGTACGCTACTGCTTTCCGGCGGAGGTGCGGGTGGAGGCGTCAACATCAGTTGCGCCGAGTGGGTCGGGCCTCTTCGGCTCCCCGTTGTTCGCTCCCAACCTGCTTTCAATATCCCAGCGCGCTACGGGGTTTGAGATCTGTGGTGAATGCTCGGCGGTGCACGCTACAGCTTTCCGCCGGAGAGAGCGGACACTGACGCAAGTGCTCCCGCCCTCCCGGCTGTGCACGCTAGAGATCAGTGATCCTTCCCATGGTCCTAAGTCCGCCGCCGCGATCCCGTGATCCAGTGATCTCCAGTGATCCGATAACAATTCCATCAAAGTAGCTGATGTCATTATTATTGTCGTCACCGGCTGGCTCGCAGTGAGCAGAGGATCATCTGGTGGTTGATGTCATGCTGATTGGATGTTGTGGCTTAGTCACTCTTCGTCAGAGCTCTCCTCCTCGGAGCTATCGGCCTCAGAGTCCGCCTCCACCTGCCGCCTTCGGTTGGGGTTCTCTGGCAGCTCATCACTGTCCCCGGCCCTCTGCTGTGGTTGCTGCTGCGTGTCCAATGTGGATGGCCTGTGATAGGTCAGCCAGGCAACCACGCGTCGAGCTCACCACTCCCCGGTCTTCCGCCAAGCCTTGACCTCCTGGGGAGAAATCACATGGGTCACCTCTCCAGCAACACGCGAGTCTGACTGCTCGAACAGCTGCACGAACGCCAACATCCCCCGTGAAGCCAGCGTCATCTTGCGAATCTTCGCTGGAAGCTCCACGAGACGCTCAACTCCATCCGCACCGGTGGAATTGAAGTTGTTTGACCCCGTTGGAGCACCCAGGCGGACGATGATAACGTCCTCCGGGGCTTCACTCGGAGTGTAGGGGGCATCTTGGGCTTGCAGGCGGGGCATCGTGTTGTTTGTGGTGAATAGAGCGGAATCAAGATTAGTCTCAACTGACCTCCACTTCTGCGAAATGTGTGTTTATTTGGTTCCGAACGGCCATTGTTGACAAAAGTCCGGTCAGCCGGTGTGGCCCTTCAGCACTAGTTCTACAACATCCACCACTACGCGCGAAGCCTGCAGCAAGCAGCTCCCAGCCAAGGCCAGGCAGACATGGGCCAGCATGATCCCTTCAAGACTTGGGGTGATGACCTTTGGTCCAAGCTGGACGACTTGGACGGCTCTGACTGGTGGCAAGAATCCCCCGAAGAACAACAAGAGTTCGCAAAGCGCATTCGCAGCATCGAGGGCGCCTCAGCTGGGCCCGGCGCTCGACAGCACACGACAGAAACTGACGTTCTCAATGTTTCTTTTCAAATGAGCGCAAGCAACGATCATGCACCTGCTCTACCTCACGACCAGAGGAGTTCTTCGCACTCCTTACCCTCTGTGTCAACGAAATTGCCAGGCAACGTGCCAGCAACGCCCAGTGACGGGCGATCCCTCAAAGGACCTAACACCCCTGTCGTTGACACGCCCCCTGTACCCAAGTCTCTTCCTAGACCTCAACCCCCCCTTGGTACCTCTGCATCTACACCAACGGTCTCTACTCGACCCCCAACTGCCTTCGATACCCCTGACAATGTTCCAACCCCAACGCAGACTCCGTCCGGCTTATCGGTGGGAAGGGGAAGGCGTGATGATCCTGCTAGTCCCGCTCCCCTAGGCGATGACTCGACGCTGAAGAAAGTGGCGTATACCAAGCTCACCAACCAGTTCAATGAGTTCAACATGAAGATCATCGCCGCGGCGAACCGGGTGGGCCAGGGACCGACGAGAGGAGGTAGAGGAAAGGGTCTTGGACGACCCATTGGACTCAGGAGCACTCGAGCGACACCGCGTTCAGAGGTCTTCAAGGGATTGCGCTTTTGCATGCCTCCAGAGGGGCCTCAATGCGGAACCAAGCATGGTTCCAGGTGGAGTAAGGTAGGTGTCGCATTGGCCCATATCCTGGCTGATCTCAGATTGCCGAGTACGGTGGATCCGTCGTCATCCAGCCCGATACAGCAGTAACCCATGTTATATGGGACCACGGAAGTTCAGCGTCAAATCTCGCCAAGAAACTTGGGCTGCAGACCTTGTCAGAACTTCCGGAAGGCACCGTCTGCGTCAAGTGGAGTTGGGTGGTGCAGTGCCAATTGACCGTGAGTTGCTGCAGCGAATGAGGAGCTGATCGGAAGGGCCAGGTTCTCGATGTGACGCCATACCTGACGTTCCCGCCCACTACGCTTTCTAAGCAGCCCGCCGGGAAGGGAACTCGAAGCAGGATGTCGGACATCACCCAGCAGCTCACAGGCTCCACTAAGGGTGGAAAGAGGTGAGGCATTCGTTTTGCGGAGGCCCTCCATTTCGTAGTTAACATCTCCAGGAAGTACGACTCATCTGATACAGAGACTGAGTCGTCAGAGCCGTTAACGAGACACATCAAGCGTAGCTACAATGCTTATCAATCATGGGCGCACGCGACGAAATCGGTTCCTAGGATGACCGCACCGAATGCCTCAACCTCTGCTGCACCAATTCTCCCCCAGCCGCAGACTCCCATCGCCAGCGCAAACCGGAGCGACCAAGCGCCCTTAGCCACGAGTCATGAGGTTGCAGCAGGGCCTGGGTGGGTGCAGCCGGCGAGCGGTGAAGAGGACGCGTTGGACCGCCTCATAACTGGCATCAAAACTGGGGAAGTCAAGGAAGCTGAGGCAGGGGTAAGCTGAACAGCGCGACAGCTTGACTTACCCCAGACCGATGCCGAAAGCGAAGAGGAAGACGGCGCCGACGAGATGGCCCGTTACGAAGGCAATCCGAACCCACGTGCAGACAAGTTCAAGTGCGGGCAGCCGAGTGCTGGCAAAAAAGAGGGTCCGAACTAAGCGCTCGCGAAAGAGTTTGACAAACTCCATGCCATTTACAAGGCCACACCTGGCAAGAATGAGTTCTCAATCCTTCAGTACTCTCGAGGTGAGTTTCGATGAACAGCCCTAGCTAATGATAGTTGCTGGTGTTATCCGCCGTAAGTGGAAACGTGCAGGCAATAATCTTACCGTCAGGTCATCCAGAGCAAATCAAGAGCGGCAGCCAGATTCGTCATTTGCGGTTTGTGGGCGAGTCTATGGCGAAGCGCGTACGTCTCATGGTCTCAATCAGGCTGATGCGACAGATCGATGAAATCCTGACAGGAGCCAAAGGTCGGCTCTACTTCGAAGACACGGACCAAGCCCGAACCATTGCCAAATTTCAGAATGTTTACGGTGTCGGTAGCAGGTGTGCCCACGAGCTTTACAGTCGTGGCGCGCGCTCCATCGAGGATTTGGCTACCAAGGACTTTGGCCTAACAGTTGGCCAGAAGGTGAGTGAAAGAGAAATGCAGTATGGCTGACTCCTGCAGATAGGCGTCAAGTTGTATGATGATCTCTGTGCTCGTATCCCAAGGGAAGAGTGCCGCCAGTTGTTTGAGATCGTTCGTGACCAAACGCTGTCCTTCGACGACAAGGTCTTTGTCGAGATCATGGGGTCATACCGACGCGGCGAAGCAAACTCTGGTGACATCGACATTCTCATCACGCGCGACCCCTCCGATGGCAAGACGCATCAGGGGCTTATCGGCAAAGTCGTCGAGGCGCTGACCAAAAAGGAGTTCATCACGCATGCAGTAAGCTTAATTGGCGTTTGCAACAAGCGTTGACTTTAGCTCGGCGCGCCAAACGACTGGCAAGACCTCGAGTGCACGTGGATGGGGGTGTGCCGACTCCCGAATGGTGTTCATCGGCGCATCGACATTCTCTCCATCCCTTGGGAGCAGAAAGGTGCCGCGCTGCTGTACTTTACCGGCAATGCCATCGTGAGTTGCTGTACGCTGCCTGCAGCTGACTCTGTGCAGTTCAATCGCAGCATGCGTCTTTACGCGCGCAAACGAGGCTTCTCGCTCAATCAACGCGGGCTGTACCGGAACGTCATCCGGAACAGGCAATTAGAGAAGGTTACGGAGGGCGAGATCGTTGCGTCGCGTACGGAGGAGGAGATCTTCGACATACTCGAGATCAGATGGCGTCCTCCACATTTGCGGCGCCCGTGAACTCCAGCCAAGGTTGCACGGCCGCGCAGCCCATCCTCCAAGTTGTGAACTTACACTTTCACCTGTATCGATAGTTTCCACCTGTATTTATGTTATGTTTCATGTGCATATGCTTCAACGCGGTGGCTGCGCACGCACATGCGAATCGGCACGCTGGGCTCGTCGAAGCTCCGTTCTCGGTGAGCTTCGACACAAGAAGGTGAGTGGCCCCAGAACCAGGCGGGTGGGCGCGTTTCAGCCTCGAAACCGAACACCCACCGCAGACCAAGTTGCCAAAGTTAATGAGCGCGACCGTCGGAGGAAGGTTTCACCCTGGAGCCTCTTGCTTCTGCTTGCAGGCGCAGCGGGGACAAGCAAGGTTGTCGTCGTGTGCGTGCTTGCAGTGGTCAAAGTTGGCTCTGAAGCGTGTGCTGCTTAAGACACGCCCGTTGGCCGCTGCCCGCTGCCAAGTGGTGTTGCGGGAGATGCGAAAGGCAGACGCCGACTGCGCAACCGTGCCAGCTTAATCATAATCTGAGTCACTGCACGAATATGGAGTGTCCTGCCCATCAGGATGCTCGGGATGCTCGGAAGGGGCAAAGCTTGGTGAATGGAGTTGAGGCATTTTGTAGATCGTCGCCGCACCGTCGTCCGAGCAAAAGAGGCATCGATAGTTATGCGCATACCATCCCACACACAGCCGTCTGCGTTTGCGTATCCTTCTTCACGCATCCATGCAGCAGTATCCCAGGGAATGTAAATTGCTGTGTGTAATCAGCTGCGCTCCCGAATGTTTGGAACGTCCGGAACGCCCAGGTCGGCGGATCCCACCATGTTCTCAGCATCATCAGGACTCATCGAGGATGCTTCCGAGGCGCATGGACGCTGCTTTGGCCTGACGCAAGCTCTCCGCCCGCCCAGAACATACAGGACAGGCAGAAAGGAGGTGGTGGTCTGGAGTCTCGCTCGCGACACGGGAGGCGTGAAACTCGCAACAGCAGTGCCATTGTCCCAGTGTTGGAAGATTTACGTTCGGCGCCCAACCCAAACTCTCTTTGGATGTCTGTGCACGAGCACGCACAGGGGGGAGCGAGCGACACGGTATGCATGCGCGAAGTAGACCCTGCGTAAGAAGCTTATTGCGCTTTGCGCCGACTTCATTGGCGGACAGGGCGTGTCCCGTGGTGTTGTGTCCTGCGTCAGCATCCAGGCGCAGTCGCGGCCAAGCCTTGAGCGACGAGACCAGGAGGGCAGATAACGTTATCTTCATTCTGGCTTCTTGGGACAAGTGCACTTAACAGTGGTGAGCGGGAGTGTCGTCGCAAGCATGTTGATCCCACATCCCTGGCTCACCCTGGCTCTGAATCGCGTTCGATCCAGGGCCAGACGTATGGAACCTGGGAATGGGGTGGGGATGGTGGCAGCTGGAACTGAACTGCACGCACAAGGCACACGGGCGAGCCGCACCCGCTGCCGTTAGGTGTTTAAGTGTTTGGCAGACAGTGTCTGGGGTCAGTGGGGTGAGCGGGGTGACGGGCTGATGATGGCAGCGAAGTGTGCCCACAGGCAGTCCCGCAACAGCGGACCCCTTGAAACGCTGCCGACATGCAAGCTGGGTTTGGCTGTTTCTGAGCATACGGGCGGCGGGACCATGGCGGGGCTGGCTCCAGGCCGTATGTGATGCATGTCCCGATCACTAGCATGCAGAGCATGTCCGGGTATATAAGAACTGCTGTGCATGTTGTCGTTTGCCTCATCGCAAAACCGTTTCCGCCGTCCTACCGCTCCGTCGCTCTTTGTCGCCTCTGCCCCACACTCATTACACGTTAGCGCCATGAAGCTCTTTGCCGTTCTCCCTCTCCTCGCCGCCGCCGTCTCGGCCCAGTTCGTCAACCTCAACGCCCGCGGCGACGTCAACGTCAAGACGATCGACAACAAGGTGACCTCCAAGGGTCTCTGCTCTGGCAACGCGCAGGGCGAGTTCTCCTACTCTCCCGAGACGGAGAAGGAGAAGCTCACCTTTAAGATCGAGCTCGTCTCGAAGGAGAACCCCGTCAAGCTCGTTGCCCACTACAAGAACGAGGCGACTGGCGAGCACACCGAGGCGACCATCGACAGCGCCAACCCCTCCAACACCGTCGGCGGCGAGGCCGTCAAGGGCCAGAAGGTCGTCGTCACCGTCAAGCCCGAGGGTGCCTCGAACGACGCGTGCGAGTACTCGGTCTCGCTCGACGCCAAGGCCGAGGCCCAGCCCACCCCCTCCGCCACCCAGGAGTGCCCCACCTACTCTGTCAGCCCGACCACCGTCGTCGAGACCGCCACCTCGACCGTCACCGTCCCCGGCGCCCAGCCCACTGGCGAGGTCTGTCTCTGCGACTGTGACGTCGAGGGCGCCAAGCCCCTCCCCAAGATCGAGCTCTAAGCGCATCTCGCCGCTCAGAGTATTCGACAGTAGACCTTTAGCCCAGGATAATCTAAAGTACATTATGAATAGTGTTCTGCACTGTAGCCCTATAGCCTTTGCGTCCTACTCGCCAGCGTACTACCGATGAGAGGTTGCTGGAAGATCTGCACTGCGGCAAGTGGTTAGCGGCCCACCCAGGCTATTTGGCTCAGGGCGTGCGAAGACGGAGAGATATCTCGGCGAATTCGTTTCATCCCGGCGCGGGACGTTCCCTGCCGCAGGAACGCAGGGTTACCGACCCCCCCGATCCCTGGACTCTCCTCAGAGCGATACAAACCTTAGCTTTGAATGGCTCCCGAATGGAGACAGACACGTGCTGAAAGCTAAAGGTATGCCGGTAGCTACGTTAGAGGGATGTCCCGTGAATGTAACGGTGGTGGTGATTGTCTTACGGATGCTGATTGCTGCTGCGTCAAGTGGATTGGGTCGTGATTTCTTTCAATCTCGTGAGCCTCGAGCCTCAGCATGCGGACGCATGGGGTCGGGCTTACGATACCACATACAATGATGTCCGATTAGCTCGTTAGCGATCGGTGGCCCTGGAAAGTTACTGACATCGGTTTAGTGGCCCATCTAATGGCGTACGCTCGCCGCTCGAACAAGTTTAGACAATGCATCTTAGTATGTACATGTCGAGATATGTAAGCTAATACAACGGTGCTATGATACTGCCAAGAGGACCAAGAAGGTGTGGCGTCAAGGGGGCATAAGAGTCATTTCGTGTCGTGCGGGAGAGGCTTGGTGAAGGAAAGCCTGCGCTGAGCGACGGTGCCGGGCTTAATGTTCGGCGAAGGGATGTAGGACCTGTGGGGCTGGAGGCTGGACGCTCCGTCCGTCCCCGCGCGCGCTCGGCCCTTAGCCTTCGGCGTCGCGGGGGTCGTCGGACGCGATGTCCGAGTCATCGAGTCTGTTCGCTGGTGCGTGTGAGTACTCGCGGCTGATCCGGGGCGAGAAGAGACCGAGCCGGAACGCCCGTGGTCAAATCGTGGGATACGGCTTCGCGCCGGTGTGTGCGGGGCCGGCTGGGATGCTTGCGGGGTGTGCGACGCAGGCGAAGCAGGCCGCAAGTATGCGGGCGGCTCGAGCGGCGTACCCGGTGCAGCGAGCTTCGGGCGCGAGGAACCCGACCATGTGCCGTGAACCGGCGTGCCTGGATGCGATGCGTCGGAAGAGCTGAGAGATCCGAACTCAAATGTTCCACCAAAGCTCGATCCCACCGACCTCTGGTCGCGCTGGTCGCTCGCTGCCAGCTCGCCGAGCGTTGGCGACGGGGGCCGCTGAATCCATTTGTTCGACCCTACTCGTTCGCGCCGCCACGGCAGAGGAGGCGCAGTACCGCTGCCATACAGCGTGGGCGCCGGCATCGGCATGCCCGGGCGCGGGCTCTTAGACAGGGGCGACCCATGGTAAGATGGGATCCGGGAATGTGTGTATGGGCTGTTGCCCGCACTGTGTGTGTTTGCACTAGCGGTTGGAATTGGCGTGGAGTGTCGGGGGCCATCGCGCGCGAATTTCTTCGTAGGAGGCGTTAATGTCGCAGGAAGAGAGGTACGGTTACGCGCCAGGCCGGACAGTGAGGAGCGGCGGGACGTGCGTCCATCGTCCATCCATGGCGAGAACAGGTCACTGGACGGCCGGCCTTCTGAAGTGGAGGAAGTCGCAGAGTTGGGTGTGACAGACAACAAAGGAAGCGGCATCGGATCGGCGGGTGGCAAAGTCGGCTGCGAGTGTAATGCTCGTTGTCCGTCATTGATGAGGTTCTGGATGCGCCGCGTCATGTCGTCCAGCCGCAGGCTCATCTCCTCGTCCTCCGACTCTCCCTCCTCCTCGATCGGTTCTGGCGCCGCACGCTTGTTGGACCTGTGGGGCGTCTGACCCGGTGTCAGAGATAAGAATGTCGGGCTGGGCAGGGATGTCTCAGGCGAGGATGCGCGTGTGGACGATGGTCGGGTGGGGGGACTGAGCATTGCGAGCTCCTGCTGTCTCGTTGCAATGATGAGTTCGGCGATGCTCGGACGCTTGATCCTACGCTTGCGTCGTCTTCGCGACATGGTCACACTGGGCGCGGGTGAGCTGGCGATCGTACTGACCCCGTCTGCAATGGTGTCATACGCGGGTGGCGGCTCCGAGTGATCGGACTGGACTAGCCGGTCTTCGCTCTTGCTTGTCTCGCCACCGTGCATGTCGTCATCGTTATGGTCTTCCTCGTCGTCCTCGTGTGATCTCCATCCGCTCCAGAGTCGATACGCAGTTCTGATGTCAGCTGTATCGCGGATTGCCAGCTTACAGTCCGACGGCAGCGCCAAAGACGGTTGCGCTCACGGCGCTGTTGACTAAGGACGCGGCCCATCCCTGTCGCTGCTTGCCGCGCGTCAAGTGCTTGTCGATGTCGTTCATGGCTGCCCGTTCCGCAGAAACGTACACTGGGCGTCAGCTCGTATTCAAGTTCTGCACAGCTTACGAGAGGAAAGCTCGTGCTCGGCGTGCGGGTGACCGCCGAGGGTCGCCTGTTCCGCGAGGCCGGACTTGCCGCCGACAGCACCGAGGGTGACGCCGGGATCGGGGACTTGCCAGCCGTCGCCAGACGGGGCTGATTGGGAGGATTCGGAGATGCCGGAGGAGGATGTGCGCGACACTCGCGACGGGGGTGCCGTCATGGTGAGGTGGACGCTGAGCGCGCCAATGGTAAATGACCGCCGAGTGGTCGCGATGGAGTATGCCGCAAACTCTAGACAGCGGGTCCCGTGTCCTGGATCTATGCTGGGCTCGTACAGTGCGCCTGGGCCCCCTCGTGCCATGTGGCAAGGCCACAATAAGCCCTTAGGCGCGGGGCAGGCGCGCGGAAGCAATTGGACTGCAATTGCGCGCCTAGGTACAGCCACAGCAGCCACCGCCCAGGGCCGCGACTGTCGTCATCACCTGCGCTGCGGTGCTGTGCCGACATCCGACGTGCAACTCGCTCGACCTTCTTCTCATTCATCTCTACTTACAGCTCTCAAACCTCATCCGCACGACACAGAGTAGACTGCTAGTCCTCTGCCCCTAACTCTCCTTCCAGCATGTCCGCCCCCGAAGTCTTCCAGCTCTCCCTCGGCCCGCTCAGCGGTGTCGCTTTCGGCCCTGACCGCCAGCGTGAGCTCTGGTAACTGTGTCCAAGCTAACTTCACAGAGGTGGCCGTGTCGCAGAACAACAACGAGGTCCAGATCTACCGCAGGTCGGGCGACAACTGGACGCTCGAGGCAACCCTCGCCGAGGTAAGCTTCGAAGTCGAGCTCCCCAGCTGACACCCAGCACGACAAGCTCATCACTGCCATCTCGTGGGCTCCGCAGACGAACCGCATCGTGACGTGTTCGCAGGACCGCAACGCGTACGTCTGGACGCAGGGCGCGGATGGTCAGTGGAAGCCCGCGCTCGTTCTGCTCCGTATCAACCGTGCCGCGACGTGTGTGAAGTGGTCTCCGAAGGAGGACAAGTTTGCCGTCGGCTCCGGCGCGCGCGTCATCGCCGTGTGCTCCTTTGACGAGGAGAACAACTGGTGGGTGTCGAAGCACATCAAGAAGCCTCTGCGCTCGACCGTGCTCTCGATCGACTGGCACCCGAACAACGTCCTCCTCGCTGCCGGCACGGCGGACGCGAAGGCCTACGTCTTCTCTGCCTTCATCAAGGGCATCGACGCCAAGCCCGAGCCCACCGTGTGGGGCGACAGGCTGCCGTTCGGCACCATCTGCGGCGAGTTCAAGTCTCCCAACGGGGGGTGGGTGCACGACGTCGCGTTCTCGCCCTCAGGCAACGCACTCGCGTTCGTGTCGCACGACTCGAGCGTCAATGTCGTCTACCCGTCTGGGCCTGGGCAGCCGCCGGCCGCCTTCATCGCGGTCCGTACCGAGACCCTGCCCTATCTCGGGGTGACGTTTGTGAACGAGACACAGCTCATTGCGGCGGGGCACGACTGCCAGCCCACCGTGTTTGCAGGGGACGAGAACGGCTGGGCCTTCTCGCACTCGCTCGACGACCCCGCCAGCGCCGGCAGCAGGCTCACGCCGCAGCCGACGGGCGCGTCTGCGCGCGGCCCAGGCCGGCTCAACAACGAGGCGTTCAACCTCTTCCGCGCGGCCGATTCGCGCGGCCAGTCCGGCGCCGCGCCCACGGCTAAGAGCGGAAGCGTCCCCGGCGCGCCGCAGGTGAATGCGGACGGACACCTCCTCACCGTGCACCAGAACTCGATCACTTGGATCGAGCCCTACGAGTGGGCTCAGAGCGGCGACGTCGCTCGCGTCACCACCGCGGGCAAGGATGGACGCCTCGTCATCTGGCCCGTCACGGGTAAGGGCGCCGGTGGCCTCGCCGGCCGCATGGGCAACCTCCACGTCTAAGTATGTAGTAGCATGAGATGCAAGGAAATCTGAACGGATATGGTGAGCAGTAGGCTGGTCGGTGCCGTTGTAGGTGTTACGAGTCAGTATGTTGTACGCCTCGCTTCGCTCAGCGTCATTCGTGCGCTCGTGCCATCGTGTTCATGAAAAAATGTACAGAAATTCTATCATAAATAGTTGTGCCCCAAAAGAGTCGTCATCACTCATCATCCTTGCTGTCCTCTTCCTGCTCAACGCGGTTGAGTTCGGCCACATCCCTGGGCTGATCGCGCGGTACTTCCGCATCGAGGATTTTCCTCCGGAGGGCCTCTCCACTCTCTCCCCCGTCCTTGAGCCCCTTGACGCTATCCCCGTCGCTGTCTTTGCCTCCCGTGCTGCTGCGCCGGCTATGAGCTAGAGGCGAGGAGGGCGCCGCGTCGTCAGAGTCCGAGTCCGAATCAGACTCGGCAACACCTAACTTTGTGCCCTTGCGGAAGATCTCGGCCTCCTCCTCGACCCACTTGCGCGATGTATTCGAGACTGGGGAGGAGGCGCCCACGGCCAGCTCGGCGTCGACGAGACATTCCGCCTTCCGCCTGAGTTCCTCTGCCTTGGCCGCCGCACTCTCCTCGCTCTGGGCCTCAGTGTCTCCGTCGGCCGCCGCCTCCATGAGATCCGCCTGGAGTCTGTTGCTCTTAGCGACAGACTTGGTGGGGCTCTCCTGCTCGGGCCGCCGGCGCGCGGTGGCGGGGGAGAGGTGTTCGTCGTCCTCGTCGGATTCCTCCACGTCGCTCTCGCCGAGCGAAAAGTTCGGACTTGAGATCTCCAGACTCACACTGCGCATGTGCCGCCGGCCATGGGCGCCGGTGGGCGTCACGACGGGCGCGGCGGGGGACGCAAATGCGATCTGCGACGGGAGAAGGATACGTGGCGGCGTCGGGAGGAAGGAGGCCGCCTTGCCGACCAAAGCGGTGAGTTGGTCGTTCGCGCCGAGCATGCGCTCGAGCTTGGCCGGGTCGGACTCGGCGGGCGCGAGCTCTTGCAGCCGCTCGCTGAGCGCCTTGGCGCGCTCGAGGAGAGGCTTGAACTCCTCCGATGGGCTGTGCGCGTCGCGCCGCGGGTGGGCGTACCACTTCTCCAGAGCGGGGATGACGCGCTCGGCGTCAGGAACCAGCTCATCGGGCGCAAGACGGTAGACGTGCTCCCGCGCTTGGCCCTCCACGCTATGGACGACCGCGGCGGCCTCGGCCTGCACGCGGCGCGACTCGGCAGCCTTGACCTGGCGCACAAGGGCGGACTTCTTGATCGGGCGCCACATGGCTTCGTGGGCGCCGCGCGTCTTGCCCTCCTTCAGCGCCTCGGCTGCAATCTCCGTGTTCCGGATGCACGACTGGAGGATCGACTGTGACAGCTCGGCGAGGTTCGGGTCGTTCGGCGGGATCGAGACGTCCAGGCAACGGATGATCTTGTTCGACTTAAGACCAGAGGAGACGGCGAGGATGCCGGCTGTACCGATGGCGGGGTTCGAGGTCAGGTCGAGGTGCAGCAGACCACGGTTCTCGGGGATGAACTCGGCGAGGTCGATCGCGCCGTCAGTCGTCATTCCCGTATCGCTGAGGAAGAGGCGCTTCAAAGTGTGGTTCACCGTGAACATGGTGCGCAGAGCAGCGATGCCCTCCAGGCTCGGGCCGCAGCACGGGTTGCCGCTGAGGTCGAGTGTCTCGAGCGTCGAGTTGTACTTGAGCGCCTCAGCGAGGGCCGTCAGCCCTTGCGGCTCGATGCGGTTCGCACTCAGGTTGAGCACCTTCAAGGTGCGGTTGCGCTTCAGCACCTGGGCGATGTACGTTACGCCACGACCGATGTCGTTGTTCTTCAAGTCGAGCGTGACGAGACGGCCGACGCGCTCCACGCCATCGAGCGCGCGCACGCTGCGCTGCAGAGCCAAAGATGCGACACCCTGCTCGGCGTGCGAGATCTTGCCCTCGGCCGTGACAGAGTTCAAGGCGCCGTCCTGGATCGCGCTGTACCCGCCGCCAGGCATGACTAACGGGTGTTTCGGCGCCGGAGGAGGTTTGTATCCATCGGGCACGACACGAGATGTAACCCCACCGGCAGACGACGACGTGACGAGTGGGATGGGAGGGAGGTCGGCATTGTCAGCGTTCGGGCGAGGAGGGCCCTGCTGCCGCCACGCGCGCGGGACGTAGGGAAGGGAGTTGTCGTTGTGGGAGTTGACGAGGGGGGCGAGGGAGCTGATGGCGGCACTGTCGGGGTAGTCGCGGATCATCACAGCGAGCGACACTGCGCCCAGGTGGTTGATGCGGTTGTTGCGGAGGGAGAGGTGAAGGAGATCAGACGTGCGGATGCCGTTTGCGAGCACCTCCAGCGCAGACGACCGGAAGTTGCAGTTGTCCATGCGCAGCGTCTGAACCGCCGCGGGAGCCGAGTCGATGTCCTCGAGGTTCCTCAGCATCGGCGTTGGAGGGAGAATGAGGCAGTACGGCGACTTCTTGGAGCCGTCGTCCGTATCGTCGCCGTCGGTCTCGCTTTCTGCCGAGACGATGGCAGCGTGGTTCTGGACCGGCGCAGAGTTCAGAGCCTGAACAAGATAGTCGACACCCTTGCGGTCCCACGTCGTCTCCGACAAATCGAGCGACTTCAATGAGCGCGCCTGAGAGTTAGCCACGACAAGCGTACATAAACTCACTCGCTTCAGGAACACAGCCAGGAGGTTCCATCCACCAGCCTTGATCTTTTTGTTTCCAGCGAGACTCAGGCTCGGAAGCGATCCGCTAACGAGAAGGGCGTGGAGAATCGGCTTGATAGCCTCTTCGTTCTCGATGACACCCTTTTCGAGGCGGAGATCGTTGAGACCCCACTCGATCGCGAGGACATCGGCTAACGCCTCAGCAGCATACCGCGTGAGGTGGTGGTCGATCGGATACGACGATGACTGTGACGACGATGATGTCGGACCTTGGGACGCAATGTCGTGGACGATCAGGTGCAGATGTCGAGGCTTCGGGTGGGCTGGAAGAGCCTGCAGCGCCCGCACCACGCCTAACCTGGGCTTCTCCTCTCGTCCGCGACACGCGCTCTCGTACAGCTTGATAAGCCGCATGGACGTCCAGTATTCTGATCCGCGAGCGGTCGACAGAAGCATGCGCTGGCGTGATTCGACCTGTGCAAGGTTAGCGATAACCAGCACCCCAACCTACTCTTTGCCGGTCCTCCAGGACCTTCTGACTCCATGGTTCTCCGTAAGAGCTGATGGGGTAGGTGATACTCATGCTGGGCAGCACGAAAGTCGCTCGCTTGAGGGGCTGCTTCTTCTTCGGGTTGGCAGGTGACGGGTGAGCAGAGGCAGCGGCCGCCACGGGAGCCGGCGGCGGTGAAGGCGCCTGGCCCGGCTGACCAGTGGATCGTCCATCACGCAGCGAGGTCGTGCGTGGTGGGAGGCGCGGTTTGAGCACTTTGGGAGGAACAGGCGGTCCGGGCTGCGACTCTGCGTCCCTCCCGAACCGCCCGAATCCCAGTCCCAGACGCCCCGACCACGCATTCAGCGTGCCGACGGCTGCATTCATAGCCTGCGACGGGTGAGGTGCGGACGGCCCGGGACCTTCCCCGGACACGGATCCGACGACCATGTCGCGCAGCATGTTACCAAGCGTCGGCTTTGCCGGAGGCGGGGGCGGCTTCAAGATACCCTTCTTTGGACGCTTCGCATTCGGCTTGGGTGGCTTGGGCTTCGGAGCTGTCGGTGCAATAGCAGAGAGGGGCTGGTCATCTGCGCTCTTAGCGGGGGATGCCTTGCCGGCGTCCGGCGCAGCGCTGTCATCTTTGGGTGGTGTCGGCGGCGGGGAGTCCTGCTCCTTGGCGTCAGATGCAGACTCGGACTCAGTAGCGGCAGGCGTCTCGGTCGTGTGATCAGTGGGAGGCTGCGGTTCAGTTGCAGCGCTTGTGTCCGCAGCATCTTTCACGGCGTCACGCTCGCCTAGCGTCTTGCTGTCAATGTCGGAGGGGGGTGCGGATTCATTCTGGGGTGGAGGTGGGGATGTCGGGGGAGAAGAGTGATCTGGAGGCGGAGGGGAGTCTCCTCCTCCTTTGTGGTCTGCAGAGACCATTGGAAGAGGGGAGGGGAGGGAGAGGAAGGAGACACGACGGGGTCGAGGGTGTCAGTGATTTTGGTCGGTGTGGACTTGGTGGGCCGGAGAGGGAGAATGTTGACAAATAGGACAGTGAAACGGGTGTAGGCCACGGTGGCCACGGTGGATGGACGGGTGCGGGGTGGTGGGTATGACGCGTATCTGCGGTGGTGGGCGCCGGCACCAGATTCATTCATCAGATGAGCCAGATACCAGCGTACGGTGGGTAGGGTTCAACGGGCACGGCTCTACTCACCGCTGGCGCTGGCTCGAGCGACCACCGCCGGCACCCAGCGTAGTGCATACGGCCGGGCTCACCATACACGGTGATCTGCCAGCGCACCAGATCTCATCCGACACGGAGCAGGCGTGGGCCACCTTGCAACCATCCGCAAGCCTACCAAAATCAGGAACGGGGTCCTGAAATTGGAAGATGGACCCTGGCACGCCTACTCGCACCCAAGTCCAGACTGTCCAGACTGTCCAGACTGGGGTGCAGTCGGGCCGGGTCAGGGGGCACACGTGACTCTCTCGTGCGCGAATCAGGCCCCGAAGCGTTTTAGCTCCGCTCGTGGGCGGTAGGTTTTGCACTGCTGGGTTTGAGGGCCTCGTGAGGGACAGGACGGCAGCGACAGGATCGGATTGTTGTCGGTCGGGCGGCAGGAGGGAGAGCCTCAGTTCCTATGTCGTCAACCGAGAAAGAGACAACGTCTTCATCGGACTCTCTCACCTCTCCTCCTCCATAACCATCATCGCTATATATTCCCCGTGAACCACTTCTCCGCAACCCCCTCAACCACCCCACACCCCTCGCACCACCCGTATACCCCCCACGTACCAGTTGCCCATCACGACATCCATCCACCCCGTCATGACAACAAACCTCGCCGCCATCGCTGGCCCGAGCAGGTACAACCAAGTCCCAAAAATCGAGCCCGTCTCTCCCCTCAACTCTATCAGCACTACCCCCAACAACAACGATGCCGACGGACCTGCACCTCCCCTCCCCGCTGGTGGCGTCTCCAAGCCCGGCCTCAGCGTAGGAGAGAACGGCGAGGTCGTCAAGGTCCCCGCCTTCCTCAACAAGCTGTACAGGTATGTGGGCTGTTACAGTGGCGCAACTTGTGTATACACATTACTGACTCCTCTCAGCATGGTCTCTGACCACGACACGGACAACTTGATCTACTGGGCCGAGTCTGGAGACTCCTTCTTTGGTGAGCTACCTTCTTTGCAAGTTTAGCTAACAAGCAGTTCCCAACCACGAGCGTTTCGGAAAAGAGCTCCTTCCTCGGTTCTTCAAGCATGCCAACTTTTCGTCGTTTGTTCGCCAGCTCAACATGTACGGCTTCCACAAGGTCCCGCATCTTCAGTCCGGCGTCCTTAAGAACGAATCGCCTTCGGAGCTGTGGGAGTTTGTCAACCCGTTCTTCAAACGAGACCAGCCGCACTTGCTCGCCCGTGTAACCCGAAAGAACAACCGACCAGCGGCCTCCTCTGCCCCGACACCGTCTCAGGGATCCACCGGAACTCGGTCATCTGCTCGGCAAGCAGCCGCCAACGCACTGTCCAGCAATGGCGTGCATCTGCTTACCGACGGCACTATCGAGGGTGAGGCTGGTCAGTTGGTCGGCCCGAGTGGGCAGCTCGCCGATCTGCATGCCATTCAAAACGGAATCAATGCAATCCGCCAAACTCAGGCTGCAATCGGCGCCGATCTCAAGGCACTCCAGGCATCCAACGAGCACCTCTGGCGAGAGGCTCTCGAGACTCGCGACAGGCAGCAGAAGCATGAGGAGACGATTGACCTGATCGTGACGTTTCTTGAGAGGTTGTTCGGCACGGAGGGTGAGGGGCTGAAGGGGCTGAAGGAGGCCATGCGAAGAGGCGGAATGGGCACTCGTGGGCGGGAGGAGTCGGCCAGTGATGACACCTCGATCAAGAAGCGCAGGCGATTGATGATCGAGGCAGCCGATGCGGTCGCCAAGGGGGACGAGACGGGGCGTTTCGTCGAGGTTCAGAGTAAGTTTTGTTTTTTCATGACCGAGGTGTCTGTCGTAATCACCCGCGTGCTGACCAGAATTAGAACCCACCGCTACAATTGAGCCTTTCTCGACGGCGCCGAGCTCGACACGGTCTAGCGAGTCGTGGTCGACGGGACAGCGGTTCCAGTCGCTGCCGACGGACGACGAGGCGTCGCCCAAGTCTCAGCCGCGGTCCAACTCGCTCAAGCAGGGCGCCACCCCCGCCGGCGAGCAGACGCTGCACCAGGCCGCCATCTCCCCCATGTCCGACGCTCCGGAGCTGCCCAAGGCGGCTGGTCCCGCCCGTCCTCCGGCAAACGGCAACGACGCTACCGGCCTCAACCTCGACTCGAACCTGCTGCAGACGACGATCGGTTCGCTGCTGCAGAGCCCCGCCGCGGCGCAAATGTTCCTCAACTCGCTGAACGCTTCCTCGCAGGGCCAGGCGCTGGCTACCCCGCAAAAGGGTGTCAAGCCCTCCCCGACGATTGGCGGCGAGCAGTCGGCGGACCCGACGCTGGCTCTCTTCTCCCCGCTGCCGAACCACGACGGTCTCGTCAACAACCAGCACGAGCTGCTTGGCGCGTATCAGAAGGCGGTCGGTGTCAACAACGACGTCAACAAGCTGCAGGAGAGCATCGACTCGCTCGTCCGCTCGATGGGTCTCGACCTCCCCGACCAGCAGAACCCTCACGAGCCCATGCCAGTGAGCTGCGGCCCGGAGGGAGCGTACACCGACGGCGACTTTAACGTGGATGAGCTGCTCGACCAGTTGACAGCGAACAACGAGCACCCTGTACCGGCGGACGCGAGTGCTTAAGTGCGAGCGCAGCGAGCACGAGCACGAGTAGACCGGCGAGCGAAGCGAGCCCACACGGCAGGGCACAGCGACACTTCATCTCGACTACAAAAATAACAATAACAACATAGAACCTCTCTTCTTCTTTTCCTCACTTCTTTCGGAAACTGTAACTAAAAATCAAGCACCTGGCAAGAAAATAGAAACTCCCCCTCCCCCCAACCCCGTGCTGGGCCCGCGCCAGCCGGCTTGTAGCGGTTGTAATGCAGCTGTATAGAAACAGACACGAGCGAGTGGGCACTGACTTGGCCGGTCGGATGGAGACGGAGGGGTGCGCCGTGGCTCTGGCGGGCGGTGGCTCTGAAGACAGCGGTGCAGTGGCGGCTGTATGGCTGCTGTATGGCTCAATCTTGGGCTGCATAACTGGCTCCACTGACCATAGTGGTTCAGTGGAGTGGCTTTGGCTGGCTTTGGCTGGTTTGGCTGAAGCGCCATAGTCACCGTAGCCACTGTGGCTGCGGTGCATGCAGTGGAGACGCAAAGTGGAGGTAGGTGCTCGTCTCGATCCTCTCGGCCCTCTCGGTGGAGCGTGGAGTGGCCGGTTATCGGGTGAGACGTGGCCGACGCAAATCTGCACGGCCGGCACCACCTGTTGCCAGCTAGGACAACAGCGGGTTTAGATGGTTTAGATGGTGTGGGAGTGGGCGGTGTGCGGTCCCCGCTGTTCTGGGTCTTGGTCTTGGTCCCCGTGCTACTTGTTCAGCGGGAGCACTGGGATGTTAGGAGGCATGGGGCCGACACTGGATAACATGGGGTCGGAGCGGAGCCAGGCCGCATGCTGCACGCCCTGCACGCCCTGCACGCCCTGCACGCCTGCAGCCCAGCCGGTAAGCATGCAAGCATGGGAGCTGAAGTCCGACGCTGTTCGAAGTCACCACGGTCCACGGCCATGGCCACGGTCCCCACAGTACTCGTGCCCCGCTGCCCCCGCTTCAGCTACAGAATGAAAGATGAAGGATTAGGGCACGGGAACCGAAGGACTGGAGCTGCTCCAGTGCTCGAGCTGACCCCGCCCCCTCCGCCCCTCCCCCCGGCAGCCCAAGACTTACAGCTGAAGTGGCATAGGGCCGATGACGCTGGCACGCCTGACAAGCCTGGCACGCGATCACATGTGGTTCCTAGCGAGTGACATCAGTATCTTCGGGTTCTCGCTTGTCGCTGTCCCAGCGCATCATGAGGATCTACACCGTCCTCGTATCGATACACAAGTGCACAATGTACTTGATTCCTGGAGTCTGGCGGCCCAGCGGCCCAAAGTGTGGACAGTGGGGCAGCCGTCAGCTGCACAGGCAATGAGTATGCATATGGCGCGCGGCGCAGGTCCCAAACACCCCAGGGGAAGGGCAGGGGGGCTGAAAGCACGGCGTTGGCGCTGATCGCCCCTAACCCTAGCCGCCTGGGGTCCTTGCGGATCTCCCTGGCGCTCACTCTGCGAGCTGAATTCTGAAGCTGAGAAAGAGAGCGTGGAGAGAGTGCGTACTTGCGTCATGTGCTCAGCTTCGAAGTCTGGAAGGAGTGGGCTTTTCGGGTCTGCTTCAACGGCCAGACGGCCAGACGGGGGAGAGGACGAGTGGTGTGGGAATGGGTGCCTATTGCTGCCTGTCTAGACTACCAGCCCGTCTGACTGCTCTGGGCTGCATACTCTGCAAGAGCAGCATGGCAGCACGAACGTCGCAAACGGATACACGCATGACCTCAATCCATGAGACACCTACCTCCCGCGCAAAGGCACAGGACCTGAACACGTCCAGTCTGTCTTCCGAACGAATAGGAATTCATGCGCCATCCTATGCCAGTGTGATGCCCGTGTGTGATACCCACAATCCCACAGACAGTGCTCGCTTAGGCACACCCATTCATCCAGAGATAGTCCGAACCGACCACACGCCCACTCGGCCACTCGGCCACTCGGGTCTGTCCACAGCAGTACCCGACCCGATGCCTGCCCCTCTGCCCCTTGCCCTGCTTCACGACCCCGACGACGGCCAATGAAGAGCGCACGGATATCGGTCCGAAAGCAGTATACATGTGGTGATGTGCTATTCTAGTGACTGCGGAAGACGGGTTGCGACGCCTGAAATGGCACTCTAAGCCTTCGTCATGACCGAGGCCATGACCGAGGAGAGCTAGGAGCAGGAGTGATCTGCACTGCACTCCGTGTCGGGTCGACGACGGTCCGAGTCGGGGCCAAGAGAGCCGGGTCGGGAGGTTGAGGTGTGTTATCTCGGATTTGAGATGTGCGCTGGCGTCTTTGAGATGTGCAGAAGTTAGGGTGGTTCTATTTGAGAGCTGGCTTGATTCTATTTGAGAGCTTGGGTGCCTGGTTAAAATCAGATTCCGCTATTTGAGAGCTCGGAGGTGGCATTTGAGAGCCGAGTCGAGCTAAGGGCCGAACATTTGAGAGTTTAGTGACCGATTTGAGATCTGCTTTCATCGGCTCAATGCATGCCGCCGACGAGTCCGACGACCTTGAGCCGACTCCGATGTGGGACTTCCTGCAGCAGGGTAATGAAGGCACTGCGCTGGAGTGCCGATTTCTTCTGCCATTCCTTCCTCTCCTCTCCTCCCCCTCTCACGACTGTCCGCCTCACGGCCGTCTCTCTTCCGATCATGTTCTAACGTTTTATTGCTGCTCCATCAACGGACATTCTCACACTCAAGGAGTCCAAGAAGCACTAGTGAGGAACGAGTTGAGGAAGTTGGGTCGATTGATCCTGAGGTGCACGCCTATCTTTCGTTGAGAGCCGCGGCTGTCGTGTGGCAGAAGGAAGATGATCACGGGGTGGCGATGATCACGAGATAGTGGAGGGAAGGAGAGGCAGAGAGCGCGGCGCCACCATCACACGCCGAAGCAGGTTTCGCAAAAGATTCTTGCAGTGAAGAGAGTCGAGAGAGGAACCTTGGGCGTTGCGAGGTGTGAGTTCGAGTGTTCCTTGTGTACGCCGTGCGACGTGTTCTGTTCCTTCTGCGCCTTCTGTCCCTCGCCCTCGTCCCCCTCACAATGGCGTCTGCGTGGGCTCACTGTCAGCATCACCTGCGGCTTCTAAGTGTGAGACTGGGAGTCGACGGTACCCTCGTTCCTGCCTACGTTGTCAGTTACAATTACAGTGCGTTGCCGCCTTCATCTCGCCCGTCAGATCGCCGGAGGCAGGGAGAGTAGGCAGTGAGGAATAGGCGGAGCCACACTACTGTGACTGACTAGCACCCAAGTAAACGGTAGCTGGAATCGAGCGGATCTGGGTGATCTGTTCGGACCGCGGGCCGACAGATGCCAAAGGTGCAGATCCGTCTGCCACTCCCAACTCTCAGCGAGTCGACCGTGGGAAACCCTCCATGACATCACACCTGCCCTCCACACGACTGTTCGAGGACACTCCACCACCCGCCTGCTTTCCCTCTCCGCACACTCACCACATTCAACACAGACACAGTGTAAACAAAGAACCAGCACAGCCATGCCGCCCTGGTCTCCCGTTACCTTCAGGCAGGGCGCCACAATGCTCAGCGGCATCTTTGCCGCGCGCTTCTTCTCTTCCTCCGGCTCGGGTTCTTCCTCAGTGACATCCTGCTCGAAGCGCCTCGTCCGGCCCGCATCGCCGTATGCGGCGCGCGAGAGTCCGACGCCCCTCATTTTCCTCCAAACCCCCGGTGTGGATTGGAAGGAGGCAGCGAGGAGGCCAAGGGGCCAGGAGAACTGGCAGGACTGGTCGGCCATGTTTGCCGAAAAGGGGTATACCTCTGTCGAGATTGATGTCGACGTGCGCACTGAGAGGAGCGGGACGCCCGAGTTTGGCTCGCGCGATGAGGTGAGTTAGGGACAGCTTGATGAGGAAGAAGTTTGAGCTGACAGCTAGAACGCTGCTCCTTCGGAGCAGCAGCAGCAGCAGGATAAGAGCGACATTGAGCTCGCTGCTGCCGAACTGAACCAGCAGATCCGCCTGCTCGCCGTCCCCTTTGCGCCGGTTATTATTGCCTCTGGACCCTCTTGCCTCGTCGCCCAGACTTATGTCGAGTCCTACCCCGCCTCTGGGCTCGTTATGGTCGACCCGCCGCCTGACAATGATCCGCGCCCGAATGGGGTCAAGGACGGCGGCTTCGAGTGGCCCAAGTTCACTTATGAGCCTCGGTTCCCTATCCTGATTGTCGCGCGGAAGGGTGACGGACAGCGAATCGAGGATGAGACCAGGGTGGGATCAGCGGCTAAGGACGGTGTTGGACGCGGCGGCAAGGGCGTGGAGGTCATTGAGGAGGTGGACGGGTATGGAGACAAAACGAGGAATGAGGTTGAGCGCTGGCTCGACCGATGCGGCTACTGAGGGTAAGTGGGACGGGGAGATGGAGGCTGACATCGGGCAGAAGTTATACACAGTGCATGAAGGGATATATTTACATCTACGTTTGGAATACTGATGTCAGCTGGGATCGCCAGTACCTACTTCTTCAGCATACGTCTTGCTCAACTGAGAGGTAGCTGAGGTCAGCTATCCTTCGGCAATCTGTTAGCTCACAAGACGCTTTCGGGCACTGATGTTAGCTGTAAGCAGGGAAATTGTTAGCTTACGCTTCGACTTTCACTGATCACTGCCAATTGCGTTGGATCACCACCGCCGCTCACGTCCCAGTCGAGGACTGAAGTCAGCCCACCCCTACTTCCGGCCGGCTCACACTTTGCAACGTCTGACGCCTGACGTCAGCTGACAGCAAATCTCGCAGCCTTACCTCAGTTTACACGAAGAACTCTCCATTCGTGTCGATCGCTGCTCGTCAGCTAGCAGTCGGGGTTGGCAAGCTCACGCTTTCCAGAACTGAACTGCGGCTTCTGGCTGTATCCTCCATGGTGCATCTCCTCGCGGACATGGTTCAGGAGTTCGTTGAACGTCGGGCGCTCGTTGTTCTTCAGCGAACGGATGAAGGCGTAACTCATGGCACCCGTCGGCTCCTGGCCGCTTTGGACGTCGGCGCTCTGGGAGTCAGCTTGATCTGGCCATGGCTTTTGGCAGCTATAGACCCTGCTCGCTCCGCTCGCAGTGGATACTCACAGTCTGATCGTCCTTGCATCCAGACCACACAGTGACGTCCGCCTCGGTCGTGTTGTTCTCGCGGAGGTAGGCATCAGCCTTCTTGGCGCCAAAGGCAGACTTGGCGCCCGAGAACATGCTCAGCATGGCGCCGGCGCTGTCGCCCGAGATGAAACGCATGCCTGCATCAAGTGCGGTGCTGCCCGCGTTGTCGAACATGTTCGGCTCCTTGATCACGCCCTTGGTCGAGTACTGGTGTCAGCTTGTTCTGGGGATGGGTAGCTTACGGCGTATGGCAGGTTCAGAACTGTGCCGCTGTGGCACGAGTCGAAGATGGCGGTGAGCTTGACCCCGGCAGGGAGGGGGCGCACCATCGCCTCGTACCTTGCGTTAGCTGGCTCCTTTCCATGCACAAGCTACACACACTGTCGTCAGCTAAAGTCGTATGCAGATCAGCTTACACTCAGTGTCCACGATGACGCCAGCCGTCTCGTAATCTCCGGGACAGATCGCTGTATGTGAGCTCAACACAGATCACCCAGCTTACCCTCGTTGATGCCATCGGCTTCGGTCCGCGTGTCGTGTCCTTCGGCCTGGGTGCCATGTCCAGAGCTGCTCGTCAGTTCAGTGGAGACCCAGCAAACTGACTAGTGGAAGAAGAGCCTATCACCTGGCTCCACCCCACTCACAAGCCAGCGCATGCCGTTCACAATGTTCTGGTGCGAGGGCATGCGACTGGGGTCTGACTGGTCGTCGGTCAGAATCGTGAACTCGTTGTAACCGTGCTTCACTGATTGTTAGCTCAAGGTCAGATTCGACCAGCTTCGAAGAACAGCAGGAGACGTACTGAGGAACTCGCGCACATTGTGCACGTCGTTGATACAGCCCGCCAGGGCGGCTGAGGTGCCCGGGTAGTTGATGCCAACGAGGAGGGCGCGGCGGCGCGAGCCCGGCGGGTTACTACCGCCGTAGGACTGCTGCTGGTACCCGCCGTAGCCACCTCCAGGCGAGCCGCCATAGCTCTGGCCACCGCCGTAGCCTTCATGGCCGCGACTTCCGTGCTCTTGGCCAAAGCCCTGCTGGCCGTAGCCGCCCTGCCCGCCGTATTGCTGGCCGCCATAGGGCTGCTGATCGTAGCCAGGCTGTTGTCCGTACTGCTGGCCGCCGTACTGCTGCTGTACGTAAGGTCCTTGCTGGTATCCGCCGTAGCCCTGCTGTTGCTGATAGCCCTGGCTACCGTACTGGTCACCTCCACCGTAGTGGCCGTCTCGCTGTCCGTAGCCCGGCTGACCGCCGTAGCCGCCGTACTGGTTACCATAAGGCTGCTGACTGTACTGCTGAGGCGGAGCGCCATAGGGTGCACCAGCAGGAACATTGTAGGGCTGAGGCGGCGGGGCCGAGGACGAGGAAGGCTCAGGCTCCTTTGTCTTGTTCTTCTTCTTGTCGTCTCCGAAGAAGGACTGGAGCTTGCCAAACTTCTTCTGCAAGTCTGCGACGTCGACCTTGGGCTTTGAGGAAGACTTCTTTGCTGCTTGTCAGTTCGTGGTTTGAGGACTCAACTCACCCTTGCCGCCGAGCATGCCGCCCAGCGCTCCTCCGAGAGCGCCGCCGAGGGCGCTCGAGAACGCGTTGCCACCGGCCGATGGGGCTTCCTCATCAGAGTCGGAAGAGGAAGAAGAAGACGAGGAAGAATGGTGGGACGAATGGTGAGACGAATGATGCGAGGAATGGTGAGAGGCCTCAGAGTGGTGGGACGAGTGGTCCGAGGCGTACTGCTCCTCCTCTTCGTCGCTGCCCCAGCCGAACATGATTAACAAGTGGTGCAGAGTATTGAGGAGGTTGCAGGACGTGAACGGTGCGAACATGCATGCGTGGGCGCCGACTAGCGCTGCACAGCGCCCCCCTCGATTGGAGGATCCGTGCGTGCCAAGCGGTGGTGGCACACATTGTCCTGCCTGTCTGTCGAGCGGGCGCCGATCGGCCTGTCACAGGACAGAGAGGCGCACTAGGCGCTCAAGGATAGTGAGAGTGAATGCATGTACAACGGTATCTCTATCTCTACGTATGGTACAACTAGATGTGGCCCTCGAGCATGCGTCCCGGCAACGCTGTGGGCGGTGAGGTGAAGTGTGCGTGCGGCGAAGCAATGTCAGCGCGAGTGCCAGCCGCAGCTGTAGCACCAGCACCAGCATGCCCAGCACCAGCGGCGCGCTTTCGCTTGATGTCGACCAGATTCTTGACGACCTGGAGACAGATCTGTGTCGCGTGTGCGTCCTTCTGGCTCGGCTCTTCGCCCGCGTACAGCGCCTTCTGGACCAATGTGACGTAGCTCGCCACGAAGGTAGGGAGGACGGAGTCGTTCGGATCTAACGACTTTGCAGCGGGGACGAGCTCGCTGACGTCCGATCGGCGAAGCTTGACACTAGGAAGCAGCAGCTCCTCTGAGACTGTCAGCTTGCGAACGCCTCCTCAGCTGGGGGTTTTTCTCTGCTGTCGTAGCGCAGATCTTGCAACGCCTGGCGATTCTGATTCTCATGGACAAGTGCTGTAGAGCAGTGGAACAGGACGTGCCCAACCCAGTTAACAGTGTACTCACGCATCGTTGGTACCGTCGCCAGAATGTAGCTTCGGAAGTGAACACCATCCCACTCCGTTCCCGGCTTGCCCCAACCGGGGTGTCCGCCCGTGGTCGGCGAGGACATGTGCGCGATCACCGTCGTGCGCGCGTACTCGGCCTGGATGTGGCGTGCAACTTTCTGCACTGTCAGATAGCTCAACACGATCCGAAGCTGAGGAGATCGACTCACCTTAGGCGCATCCACTGTCTTGATTGGGATGTACGGCCGAGGCATCGCTCGGAGCGCCTTCGAGACGCCGTGGATACGTGCCCAGATTAGAATCAGTGAAATGAGTACCTGATGTCAGCTGGGACTTCATTTACGCTAGCTGTCTCCTGCCCTTTGCCTTCCAGACCGCCTGGGAGACATCGAGTGCTCCCTCCTGCCGATATCCAATGCCCAACGAGGGCAACGGCTCGAGAGTCTCGGATGCCGCGGCGAAGCCTGGCGTCCAGGAGTATTTGACGCAGGGTTCCAGCAGGAGTAGATATATACTCACTAGAGCAGCGAAGGCAACGCATAACGCGAATAAGTTCCACCTCGACGCATGCGAAGACTTGGCCGCCTGTTCACCGAGACCCCAAGCCGCACCGACGAGCAGCGCAGCCAGGATCAAGATGAACAGCGAGAAGGACGTGTGGTACAGGAACGACGAGAGGCCGCGGCGCTTCGTGCCGAGGGTCCCCATGGCGGCTGTGTCGTCACTGCGGCGGGGTGTCGATGTGTCGCTGGTTGATGGAGTTGGAGGAAGGTAGAGAAGCAGTGGGATGGGTGGATGGCCCGAAATCGGCTGACAACCCGCCGATCGTGCGTGCGTGGTGAGGTCGGTGGCGGCTGCGCGGCGGATGCATTTTTGTTTGGTTCAGCGTAAGGAGATCGACGAGCCTCTTGTATTCTCCCCGCACGATGTGCAGTTCGCTGAACACTTGCGAAAGTCGCGTGAGGCCTACCTGGTCGGTAACCTCCGCATTGCTTGCATGGGAGTGCAGTGTGGGGGAATAGTTGAGCGAAAGGAACAAAGTGACGGCGGACTACCTCTGTTCCACCAACTGCTGCTAACGTGGTGATGCGTACATGTTGGAAATGCTCTATGCTACAATGCTGGTACTCCTTCTCTACTTGTCGGCGTCGGCAGCCGCTGCCTTCTTCTTGGCTGGCGCCTTTTTCTTCGTCGCCGCTCCCTCCTTCTTGGCTCCCTTCTTCGCCGGCTCCTTTTTTGGCGGATCGTCTTTCTTGTCGTCTTTCTTGTCCTTCTCCTTCTCGGCAGCAGGCGCAACCTTGGGAGCAGCCTTCTTCTTCTTTGCTGGCTTCTTCTCCCCGTCGTCCGCCGCCTCGGCTGCTGGGCGCTTCTTCTTCGACTTCTTCTTCTCCTCGTTCGTTGGCGGCGGAGGACCACCGCCTGGTCCTCCCGTGGGCAGCTGCTTCGCTTGCCCGGCTGCCCGCGCCGCGGCCTCCGACTCCTTCTGCTTGTTGTGCGCCTTGATCCGCTCCAGAAGCCGTAAGACAGACCAGTTGGGCTGGAAGGCGCCTGCTTGGCTCCGTGTTCCGGCGCCGAGCAGCTTCCGGATCGACTCGAGCTCGTTGTCTTCCTCCTCGCCCTTGTGCGCGTTGGAGCGGAACTGGCCATCGGCACCAACGTTTGGGGCTGCCGGAGCCGTCAGCGCCAGTGACAGAGCCGCGTTTCGCGAAGCCATGATCGATGTGCCCAGATAGAGGGGAGGTGATGTGGCGGCCTGAAGTTAGTTACCAACAGTGGCCTGGCAAACTCACCATGATGCGAGACTCTAGTTCTAGCGTCATGTTGTCGTCCCACCGCTCTTGCCGTCGCGAGAGCATGTTATCGATCGTGAGCGGCAATGTCTCTGGTGCTGGTCGCATGACCACTCGACTCCGCGTTTCTGGACCTTTTCGGAAATCCTGTATTTCTACGACTAGACATCCGTCGACGAAGGACACGGGCGGGCGAATGTCATACAGGAAGGGGATTAGTGCTGCGGGGATGACCTGCGCACGCAAGGCCATGAGGAAGGGCTTCATCGGACCATCGTAGAGGAAGTTGATTTCCTGGACGTGGTCAGTCATGATGGCGGATGTGTCCACCAGCCCGGTGGAGGCAGGGTACTCACTGAATGCTCGAAGCGCCAGTAGGTCGGGTAGAGCTGGATGCTGAGAGAAGGCTCCCACTTGCGAGCTTTCTTGAGGACAGCGCGCGCGAAGCGATGGTAGTTGTACCCCGATGCGCTTGCCATGGTGGATGCAGTGATGCACGGGTGGATGGAGGCCGGGTGATGAGGGGATCAACGAAAGGACCAAAGAGGAGGACGGACCGGGCCAGGGAGTGCTTGGTGGGTGAAGCGGGGCCAAATCAAGCCCGCCCGCGGCTCGGCGCTCAGTGTGGATCCCCAGTCACAAACTCGTCATCGCACCAGCCAAGCCACTGCAACCGCCGCCGCCCGACGCACCAACAACCAACAACCCTCCGATCAACACATCATCCCTTCGCACCGCATCCCTCATCAGAACATACCATGAGCAACTCCAACTTCTTGGACGTAAGCTTAGTAATCTATGAGCAGGCAAGCTGACCACTTCACAGAAGGCGATTGCCATTGTCCAGAAGGCTATCGAGGAGGACGTCAAGCAGAACTACACCGTGCGTCGCCCCATCGGGCCGTATCGACTGACAAGCAGGAAGCGTACAAGCAGTATCAAGATGCTCTTGATTACTTCATGCTGGTAAGCTACTATTCTGTGATACCAAGCTGACATCAGGCGATGAAGTGTGCGTTTCAGCTGTCCGAGCCTCAATAAGGTCCAAGCTAACCCCTCAGATGAGAAGAACGAGAAGCTGAAGGAGCTTATCCGCAACAAGTTTACCGAGTACCTGGACCGCGCCGAGAAGCTGAAGGAGCACATTGCCAAGTCCGAAGAGAAACGATCACGGGCGAAGGTGGGCGCGACGGGCGGTGGCGGCTCAGAGGCCGGTGGGCCGAGCACGGGCAAGGACGAGGACGACCCGGAGATCAAGAAGCTGCGACAGAACCTGCAGGGAGCAATCGTGAGCGAGTCGCCAAACGTATCGTGGGACGATGTCGCTGGTCTCGCGCAAGCCAAGGAGGCGCTGAAGGAGGCGGTCATCCTGCCCATTAAGTTCCCGCAGCTGTTCACCGGAAAACGCACGCCGTGGCGCGGAATCCTGCTCTACGGACCCCCCGGAACCGGAAAGAGTTTCCTCGCGAAGGCGGTCGCTACCGAGGCCAAGAGCACGTTCTTCTCCGTGTCGAGCTCTGACCTCGTGTCCAAATGGATGGGAGAGAGTGAACGGTGAGTTTCGTGCTTTCCTTCGCTAACTCGCAGTCTCGTGAAGCAGCTGTTCCAGATGGCGCGCGAGAACAAGCCGTCTATCATCTTTATCGACGAGATTGATTCCTTGACCGGTACGCGTGGTGAGGGCGAGTCGGAGGCGTCGCGCCGTATCAAGACCGAGTTCCTCGTTCAGATCAACGGTGTCGGCAACGATGACACCGGTGTGCTTGTGCTCGGCGCGACGAACATCCCGTGGCAGCTCGACCCGGCCATCAAGCGTCGTTTCGAGAAGCGTATCTACATCCCTCTCCCCGAGCTCGAGGCGCGCCGACGAATGTTCGAGCTCAACGTTGGCACGACGCCGCACGGCCTCACGCCCGCCGACTTCCGACACCTTGCTGAGCAGACTGAGGGATACTCTGGTTCCGACATTGCGGTTATTGTCCGCGACGCCCTGATGCAGCCCGTGCGCAAGGTGCTCAGCGCGACGCACTTCTGCCCGATCAAGGTTGAGACCGACGACGGACCCGTCACCAAGCTCACGCCGTGTTCGCCCGGCGCGGCTGGCGCCGTTGAGAAGTCGTGGACTGAGGTTGAGAGCAACGAGCTCCAGGAGCCGCTCCTCAGTGTGTCAGACTTTGAGCGTGCGATCGAGGTCAACAGGCCTACCGTCAGCGCGGCCGACATTCAGAAGCACATTGACTTCACAAACGAGAGTGGTGAGTAGCTAACTGGTCCGACATCTTGGTTAGCTAACAGGCAGGTGGCAACGGCAACTAGTCGCGACGGCTTTCATCTCATCAACCCTTCGTTTCTTCTCTCACTCTCCCACTCGTCTCTGCTCTGTCCCCAGATGCACTGATAAACATAGATGCATGTACAAAATATCAACCACAAGACAACACTCTAATACTGCTGCTGGATCATGAAGCGGTCAAAGAAAGCGGCAATGTCCTTGCCTCCGTCCATCGGGAAGACGCCGGAGACGTACTGATCCGGCCGGACGACGATGACAGCGCCGACGTTGGGGTCGATGCCGTAGCCCTTGTACGCCGCGCATGGTCCATCGTGGTACGTGTCCTCGTCCGTGAAGGCCGTGTCGAAGGCGCGGATGTTCCACGGCTTGCGCCTCGGGAGGTAGACAGAGGGCAGTTTGCCAGCAAGGTACTGGACGTCCTTGTGGGGCGAGTCGAAGACGGTGAGGGTCTGGATGACGGCGTCCGGGTCGGCGTCCTTGGGCGTGTACGTCTTGCTGAGCTGCTCGAGGTCCTCGCCGAGGGCGTTGTACGCCTGCAGTCGGTCCGCGTTGCGCACGTCGCCGGGGAAGACGATGATGCGCCACCGCCCGTCGGCCTTGACGGCGGCCTGGAGCTGGATCGCGTGCGCGTTGAAGGCACCAAAGACCTGCTGGTTCTCGAGATGCTGTCCGGGCGTGATCTTCTTGGCGAGCTGGGACTGGCGTCCCTTGGATCCGTCAAGCACAATGTCGTTGGGGAGGTACTGCACGCCCGTTCCGGAGGTGAAGCGGATGGACTGCTCCCACGCCCCCCTCATCTGCTCGGGCGAGAACAGGTCGAGTTCCTCCGGCTTGGCCTGGCCTGTGAACATGGCTGAGAACTTGCGGTCAAAGTCGATGAGCTCCTTGGCCGTCTTCCTGCGCTCCTCGTGGTAGGTGTGGATGAGGCCCATCTTGGCCTGTCCCCTGAGGACGGACGCAAGCTTCCAGCCCAGGTTGAACGTGTCCATCATGGAGACGTTCATGCCCTGTCCTGCCTTGGGGGAGTGAGTGTGGCATGCGTCGCCGGCGATCAGGACGTGGTCGCCGTGCATGGCGAATGTGTCGCAGACACGCTGTCCAATCTCGTAGCACGTGTACCAGTCGACATACGGGAAGTCGATCTTGTACGGCCGCACGACATCCTGCGTCTTGGCGCAGAGACGCTCGAGCGTGACGGCTGCGCGGTCGACGCGCTCGCCCGGAGCAAGAGTGCCCATCTGCGTGTAGATGCGCACCATGCTGTCCTCGCGCGGAACCATGAGCACCGTCCCGTCGTTCTTGGAGTGGACGACGTGCTTCATCCGGCTCGTCGGCAGGTCCGTGTCGATCACGGCGTCGAATGCGCCCCAGTACACGTTCGCCGAGTCGCCCTTGAGCTCGAGGCCGAGCGCCTTGCGAACCCACGAGCGCGCACCGTCACACCCAACGAAGTACTTGCAGTGAACTGTCTCGTCCGCCTCGGCCTCGGTGTCGTTCCCCGCCGTGCTGCTCTCGTCCACGAAGAGGTTGGATCGGTACAAGCCGCTCTGGACGTCGCCGTTCGCCTCCTCCTTCGGCTTCGGGAGCTTCTTTAGCGTCACGGTGACGGGGTAAGCTGAGGGGTCATCCAAGCGCTCCTCGTCAATCACCATCGATGTCGGCGTCAGCAGCCGGTCGACCTTGAGGCCGTTCTTCTCCATGTCGGCGAGGAAGATGGCCTCAACCCTGTCCTGACCCAAGTTCACGTGCTTGCAGCGCGACAGACCGGGCGTCGTGTCCACGACGCGGTTCGACTCAACGATTCCACCGTCCTCTGTCGGGTCCCAGATCACAACCTCGGCGCACTCGTGCGTCTCGGCGTCAAAGGCGGCCTTCAAGCCGAGCGCGTCGAAGACCTCCTCCGTTCGGCACTGCAGACCGTCCGCATGTCCGCGAAGAACGGGGTGCGCCATCTTGTCCACTACGCGACAGTCGATGTTGAGTTGGGCGAGCTGCGTCGCGAGCATGAGGCCGGCTGCAAGTTAGCTTGCGGGCGACTCGAGCGGAAACAGGGGGGTGGGGGACTCACCAGGGCCAGCGCCCACAATCAGGACGTCCACCTTGCTCTCCTTTCCGGCGGGGTTCGTCATGTCGTTGATCGGTGTAGGTGACGACTGTACAAAGGAAGAACTTTGCCAGAGTTGCAGACAAGCGGCAGATATATCGGATCGTTCGTCGGCAAAGTCGAATGGTGAGGGCGGTCATTATTCCTCCCCCACCAGGGACCGGCGCCGGACACCTCGGTCCCGACCGACAACCGGGGCCGGTTTTAACTTTCTACGGCTCCTGATAACAAGGTCGCCGTCCGTTTCGCTCGCCTTGCTTCCTTGGGCCTTCTGCGCGATTCATGCATTCCATGCTTCCCAAAGGGGGTGATAGTGGGCCCGGATAGCCGATGTTCTGTGCATGTGGCTTTGCAGATCAGCGATGCTGCAGAAAACAGCACTAGTCATATCGGCTACTTAGCTGCTTATCGATGAGCCGTGCGTCACTTCACCACCAAGCAGATGGCCTGCACGAGACTCTGTATGCACTTCTCGCACTTCTCTGCACCATGCGGGACCGCAAAAGACGTTTCCGGCGTGCGAGACGTCGTCTTCGCGGATAGGTCGGGAAGTCTTCACCCCAAACGTACAAACGACGGTCACCAACCCTTCCGGTTCATACCCGACGAGGCACCCGGCGTTCCCCCGTCCCATGGATCCGTTTGTTCCCCGGCACCTGTCTACTACCTCCTAGGCTCTAAAGTACAAGAAGAGGGATGCTCTCGCACGGTTGACACTGCCCATATCCATATCTGCCCGCAGACGTCTCAACTTTTCCACGCTCGACTCGAAAAACGACAACTAACTCAATCCCGTGACTTGGCAGTTTGCCCACCTGACCCACGTGGTGTCGATCCGCCGAGCCTCCCGGATGCGGGCATGGTGCCCCGGTAAATCGGTCTCTGAACACCCCGCACCCCGAGCCAGTCCAACGATCGCCAGAGCAGCATGCATGCACCAATGCCGCGGTCGTATGATAAGGGAGCGGCCAAGACGGGTGGCTTTGCAATCAACAGCCGAGATTCCCGTTCGGGGCTGATGAGATTCCCGTTCGTGTGGAGTTGGCTTGGCAATCAACCCGAGCTGGCTTGGGCACATGAGTGGTGGCGGCGGATACGTTCGCCGTTCCTCCCGAAGAACATGACGGCAAATCGGCCCGACGCTTATTGACACTAGCTCTCGGTCTACAGCAACGCGCGCCGCATAAGTACCTCGAGCACCGGCGTTCTCATGCTCCGTTGCATCGTTCCTGTACAATACTCACTGCTGTACTCATACACAACACAGAACAGGAACAGAACGACTACAGAGAAAGAACAACACCATGGCAGCGACCAAGGTCTCCTTCCGCGGCGAGCACGAGGACCCCTTCCCCGGCCGCGGCAGCCTTCCCCCGCGCGCCGTCGCGCACTCCGATGCGGCGCAACTCTCCCTCAACGGCGACTGGGACTTCCACCTCTCGCCGACGGCACAGGGATCCGACGAGTTTTCCACCCCCGACTACCACGCCGACAAGGGCTGGGCGAAGCTGCCCGTTCCGTCGAACTGGGCGATGCCCGAGCACGGCTACGACCGCCCGCAGTACCAGAACATTCGCTTCCCATGGCCCGTGACGCCACCATACGCCCCGACAGACGACAACCCGACCGGCCGGTACAGGCTCGAGTTTAAACTACCGGCACACTGGCCGCGGGGCGACGGAGAGAAGGCGGTCCTTCGCTTCGACGGAATCGAGAGCTGGGCCAAGGTCTGGCTGAACGGCAAGGAGCTCGGCACGTCCCTCGGCTCAAGGCTGCCGGTTGAGTTTGACGCGACGGACGCCATCAAGGAGACAGGCAACGTGCTCGCTGTCAAGGTGTGCCAGTGGAGTGCGGGAAGCTACGTCGAGGACCAGGACCAGTGGTGGCTCGCGGGCATCTTCCGCGATGTCACCCTCATCTCGCGCCCCAAGAACGGTGTGCTCGACCACTTTGTGCATGCTTCCTACGACCACAAGACGGGCAAGGGCACCCTCAAGGTCGACTCGGTGCCTGCCGGTCGCGTCCGCGTCCCCGAACTCGGCATCGACATCAGCACCGGCGAGGAGATCACCGTTCCGGTCGAGCCGTGGAGTGCCGAGATCCCCCGCCTCTACACCGGCACGCTGTCGACGGGATCGATTGACGAGGGCGGCGAGAAGCTGATCCTGCGCATCGGCTTCCGCACTGTTACCATTGAAGACAGCCAGATCAAGGTGAACGGAAAGCGCATTCTCATCAACGGCGTGAACCGACACGAGTTCCACCCGCGCCTCGGCCGCGCTCTCGACAGCGCGACGATGCTGCACGACATTCAGCTCATGAAGACCCACAACATCAACGCGGTCCGCTGCTCCCACTACCCGCCTCACCCTCACTTCCTGTCGCTCTGTGATGAGCACGGACTCTGGGTGGTCGATGAGGGCGACTATGAGACGCACGGCTTTGAGAATGTCGGCTGGCGCGGCTCTCCCGCGAAGGAGAGCATGTGGACAGAGCAGCTGCTCGACCGCACTGCGCGCATGCTGGAGCGGGACAAGAACCACCCCTCCATCATTGTGTGGTCTCTCGGTAACGAGGCCGGCTTTGGTGACAACATCGGTAAGATGGCCGACCTGATCCGGAAGCGCGACAAATCCCGACCTATCCACTACGAGCGCGACCTGGTTGGCAAGTACGTCGACATCTACTCGCGGATGTACGTCAGCCACGAGCTGGTCGACAAGATCGGTCGCAAGGAAGAGAAGAATGACGACGAGATAGAGGGCATCGGGCACGCCATCCTCACCCCCGAGCTTCTGGCCGACAAGGAGCTGGACGCCAAGCGCCGCCAGATGCCCTTCTTCCAGTGCGAGTACGGACACGCGATGGGCAACGGACCCGGATCGCTCAAGGAGTACCAGGACCTGTACAGGAAGTACGACCGTTGCCAAGGTGGATTCATCTGGGAGTGGATCGACCACGGCATTGAGGTCACGCGCGACGGCAAGACGTTCTACGCCTACGGCGGCGACTTTGGTGAGGAGATCCATGACGCAAACTTTATCTGCGACGGTCTCCTGTTCCCGAACCGCAAGCCCAGCCCCGGCCTGATCGACTTCAAGAAGGTCATTGAGCCTGCCGAGATCAGCATCGAAGGCGACAAGGCCACGATCAGAAACTGGCGCGACTTTGCGGATCTTTCGGATCTTGCGTTCTCCTGGAAGATCGAGAATGAGAACGGCACCGTGGGCCAGGGTAAGCTCGACGTTGCCCCTATCAAGGCTGGAGAGACGGGCAATGCGACTCTGCCCCAGGCTCCTAAGGCGGACGAGTGGGCCACTGTCACTGCCCGTCTGGCGAAGGATGCCTCCTGGGCCAAGGCGGGACACGAGGTCGCGTGGGGCCAGAGTGCTCCTCCGGCTGCCACCGCCACCGCCGCTGCTTCCAACGTCGCCCCTTCAGTATCCGGAGACGTCATCACCCTCGGTCCCGCGACCTTCTCGGCTTCGAATGGCCAGCTCACCTCCCTGCACGGCCTCACCGTGTCGGGCGCGGGTGTAGACATCTGGCGCGCCCCGACCGACAACGACGTCGGCGTCGCTCAGAAGTGGAGGGCCGCCGGCTTCGACAGGATGCACGAACAGCCCTCGAGCTACGAGGTGACACCCAGCGCGCTCGTGGTCGAGACACGTCTCACGGCGGCCGACACGGATCGCTACCTCTCGCTTCGGTACGAGTGGACTGCGGCCGAGTCCGCATCTGCCAGCACCACAGAGGATGATGCCAAGCCTAAGCAGACCCTGCACTTGAACCTGTCCGTGAAACCCGAGGGCGTGGACTGGGACAAATTCCGTCTGCCCCGCTTCGGTGTGCGCCTGGGTCTGCCCAAGTCGCTTGACGCTGTGCGCTGGCTCGGCCTCGGTCCCGGAGAGAAGTATGCCGACACGAACGGGCCTTCGTTCGGCGTCTGGAACTCGTCCATCGACGACCTGCAGACGCCCTACGTCTACCCGCAGGAGAACGGGAATAGGGCGCACGTGCGCTGGGCCGAGATTAGTGGGCACGCCGCGCCCAACTTCTTCTCCAGCATGCGCGACGCCGTATCCGAGGTCGCGGACAGGCTCAAGGCCGCAACGGACATCACGGCGGCCACTGGTGCTACCCCCGGAGCCGGTGCCGCGGGAGCGAGCAAGGGTGCCGGCAAGGGCATCAAGATCCTCGGCGAGCCCGAGTTCAACCTTTCGGTCCGCCGGTGGACGTCGCACGATCTCGAGAAGGCGAAGCATACCTCCGACCTCACACCTGGCGATCACGTCTGGGTCAACATTGACCAGGACGTTGATGGTATCGGATCGGCAAGCTGCGGTCCTGCCCCGCTGCCGCAGTACCTTCTCCGCGCAAAGGAGGGAAGCTTCAAGATCGCCTTTGAGGCTCTCTAGTCAGTAGTTCAGAAGTAGTTTAGTAATGCAACGGTCACAAGTTCGGTCGTATCGTAACATCGTTACTAATCTGCCACTGCTCACGTCACTCGCGCGGCTTTTACGCTCGGCGTCTACTGGTAGAACCCAGCCGCCCCGTTGGCCGCCTTGACGCCCTGCTCGAAGCCCTGGTCCCACTGCCACGCTTCCGGCTGGCCTGCGACGCCGACCTCCTGCGCCCGGCGGCGCGACCACGCCCACCAGAACCCGAGCACATCGCCTTGGCTGATGAAGCGGACTGCGTCGTCCCAACCTCGCATGAAGCCGTCAGAGAACAGCTGCGGTTGCGGGTTGCCGTTGTTCTGGCGCCAGTAGTTGACGTGCGCGTCTGAGAGTTAGCTTATCGCTGACGGCCACTCAGCTTTGCACTGTCGCCCACAAGTACCTCGGCCGCCTTGGCACTTACCCGTTGCCTGGTGACACGCGCCATCGCGCGCCCCCTGATCGGGCGTGCGGAGTTGCTTCTGCACGCTTGCAGGGAGGATCTCTGCCTGTGCCGCGTTCTGCGCGCTCCACCCCGCGTCCCAGGGCCGGTCGGTCTTGAGCGTCCAGAAGAAGTATCCGGCAGTGTGCTTGTCGAAACAGTCGAGCTGGGCCTTGACGAAGGCGCGCTTGTTTGCGTCCTTCTCCCCATCAGGCATGCCCTGGCAGCAGCTGTCGTCGAGCCCCGCGCTCCACTCGCCCACGACCCACTGGTTGTGGCACTGCTGGGACCAGTGCGCGAGCTGGCCCTGGTCGTGCTGCAGCTTGTCCGCGTGCTGGCACCCGGTCAGGCACTTGTCCTCCTGCGTGAAGCAGCGGTAGAGGTGGTGGTCCATCACCACAAAGTCGCCCCGCCCGCCGACGTACCCGGCGTAGAAGTCGGTCTGCCACGCATCCGAGACGTACATGGGGAAGTCGGGGCCGGTGATCGGGCGCAACTCGTTCAGCTCCCGGTCGTACCAGTCTCGCAGGCCCTGGTTGTCCTTCGGCTCGTTCAGGAGCTCGAGACCGATAACGGCGGGATTGTTCGCCAGCTGGCTGGCGAGGAACTTGAGCGCGATCGAGGCAGCCTTCTGGTTCTTGCTCTTCCAGAAGTTGACCTCGCCGTTGGAGAGACCAGAGTGCGCATCAGTGTTCTGCGCTCCAGGCGCAGCGTGGAAGTCGACGAGGACGCCGAGACCCATCGAGCCGGCCTTCTGGATCGCGGCCTGGATACGGTCCCAGGCGCCGGTGTACACGGAGGCGTACTTCTCATAGTCCGTGTTCTTCAGCGCTTCGGGACAGGGGCCGGCGAGGTGGTAGTATCCGATCTGGAGTCAGCTTGACCACGAAAGCAATCCAGCTGTTGGAAGGTGCATCGGTAGGTTCACAAACGCCGCCGCAGCCTGGCGCCGTAGGACGTTACGCCAAGCCAGCCATCGTGCGCACAGACGTCTCGGCGATAAACACTGTGCAACCTCCACGCCGACTCCGTCTTCCACCAAAACTGCGACTCACCGGAAGTCGAACGCTGTTGAATCCGCGCTGCTTGATCCAGTTCCAGTCGTCCTCCGTGACCCACGTATCCCAGTGGTGCTCCATCAGCGCCTTGGCATCGTTGGCACGGGCGAGGTCAAAGTCACTCTTCTTCGGGTCCGCAGCGTGCGAGTACAGCTGCGTCGAGAGCCAGTCCTCAGTGGTGAACCACGAGCCCAGGTTCAGACCCCTCTGGAAGCGATACCGGTTCATGGACTGGTCGAGCGGGGCGGAAGGCGGGGCGTTGGCGAAGTGCTGCTGCTGCTGCTGGGCGCCGCCACCGCCGCCGCCGCTGGTAGCAGCCTTTGCCTTGTTCTTGAACTTGTCGAGGAGACCCATTGTAGAAGGTTTCGAAGTGTGGGAAGGTGTATGGAGCAATGGAGAGTATTAGCGATTCGCCGCTGTGTAATCTGGACAAGGCAGAGGGGGGGAGTACGAAATATCGGGTGGAGGTCCAGACTGTGCGGCATGCCCATGACGTAGTTCCGTTCTGCGCAGTCGGGCACCGCCGTTGGGCCGCGTGGTGCGTATCGTTTCAGGGACCCAGCCAAACGGATCGCAGCGGCAATCAAACGCGCGTTTCTTGGCGTTGGTGCCCTCGAAACTCGGGTTCTTACAGAGCGACTGCTTCTGTCCGTGCTCCAACATCCTCATGCATGCACAGTGACTTCCCGAAAACACACGTTCCGCATGTCATAGCATGCACGTTCACAGCGTTATCGATGCAGTGGTACAGAAGGAGGGCAGGGATAGCGAGGCAAGGGAGAGTACGTACCTGAACGACCTTTGAGATCCACCTGCGCCCTGCCGATCGCGCGCTCATTGCCAACCCCTGGCACGAGACCAAGACAAGACCCACCTTTCCTCCTTTCGCTGCTTTTACATCCTCGACTCCACTCTCTTCAGCATCGGTCAGTCACCTCAACACCGAGCCCTTCGCTACATCAACACCATGTCGCGTGGTGGTGTGAGTACCGCTAACCGCTACGCGTTACTCGCGACGACGAGACTGACTTTCAGAACAACGGCGCCGATGTGGAGGACCAGCAGTCCCTCTGCACCACGCACTCCATCCATGCTGGCCCAGACACCATCAACAGTGAGCTAACATGCCCTTGAAAAGCTGACAGACCAGAGATCGTGAAGCGCCTTCGCGCGCTCACCCTCCGTCTCCTCCCCCAGGAGGTCGAGGACGAGGAGATCACGAGCGCGTCGTCTAGCATTGTCTCCCCCGAGGTTGTTGAGATCTTCGAGGAGGCAGGCGGTGACTTCCGCGAGGCGATTCCCTTCTGGTGAGCAGCGGCGGTGCAAGAATGCGTGTAGCGTGCTGCACGTGAAGTGCTGAGCGTCGCCGGTTGCGCTGTGCGCTATGCACGGTCGGGATCAGCGACGTTATCGAGGGTGTGCTTCCAGCCAGAGAGGAGGGGGCGCAGCCTTTGACGGCCGAAGCTGGCCGAAGCTGGAGTTACCGTGTGAACTTAGCTGACTTTCAGCCTGCTCCGTGCCCGCAAGATGTTCGTCGAGGACGCGAACGCGAACCCGACCGACTATGGCGAGAACATGTGCCGTGCGACTGCCTGCGAGGTGCTCGCCCGTCGCTCGGTCCACCGCATGCCTCCCCACCGCCTTCAGTCCGTCATGAGCACCCGCTACCGCTACCGTGAGCGTGACGGCGACGCCTCCGCGCCGACCTGTGCTCTCGAGACCGCTATCGACCAGCACTGCACTGTGAGTGATCAACACATGGCCCTCGTCCTCACGCTTGATGGCCAAGGGAGGAGTACCAGCCAGAGCAGTCGTCGAGCTAAGGAAGGTTTGGGTATAGCTAACGCGCGCAGATCTTCCTCTCCTCTTCCGAGGCCCAGATGGTCGTGACCATGCTCTGGACGGGCAAGTGGGTTCAGCACAACAACGAGAACGACGATATCGACTACGTCGAGTATGTTCCTCCTCACGACAACCCGCACTCGTTCTGGGCGCACATGGACCCGTCCCGCCTTGGCGTTCCCCGCTACCAGACCTGGTTCCGCATTATTGTCTGGATCTTCTTCCTCTACGTGTACTCGCAGACTGTGCAGAGGTGAGTTCGTTGCTCTATCGCTGTCTGCACGATTATTAGCTAACACCCAGTCCTGTCGACTCGGTCGACCCGCTCCGCCAGTTCGACGCATGGGAGATCATTCTGTACACCATGACCTTCGCCTTCTTCCTCGAGGAGATCGTCAAGATCACCAAGGTGAGCTAACACGGGGTCCTCATAGCTTACTCCAGACCATGCGCATCAGCAACAGCTTCTTCGGTGTCTTCGTGAGTTTCCTCTCGATGGGCTGCCAATGCCCTTCTGCACAGTATAACTGACCTCATAGAACTTCTGGAACATCGTCAACTTCATTACGGCGGCTTTGTTGCTCACCTCGCTCGGCCTCCGTATCGCTGGCATCAACCAACCTGCCGACTCGAAGCAGCGCGCTCATCTTCACCTCCTCTCGTTCCAATTCCTCGCGTGTGCTGCTCCACCGATCTGGCTTAGGCTCTTGGTAGTTCTGGAGGGATTCAAGGTCGTAGGCGTGCTACAAGTCGTCGTCTTTCGTATGTTGTGAGTCCCAGAGCCTTTTGAAGGTCGTGGACGTTAAGAGTGGACGGTTGAAGGTGCGGCCTTTGGAGGTCGTAAGGAGTAGTTTCGGTGGATGTGGAGGCTAGCGCGGGGCACCCGGTGGAGGTGACACACCCTTCCACCTGCCGACCCAGCGCTGATGCGCCCCTCTGCGCCCTCCTGCGCCCTCAGCCCCAGAGCCAGAGCTAACGAACAGGCGCGAGAGTGCGATCTTCTTCATCCTGCTCGCGATTATGGGTGTCGGCTTCGCGCAGTCGCTGTACGCGCTCGATGCAGCTGATGGAGACACGGGCGACGACGGCAGCTCGATGTGGCTCATCATCAACTCGCTGATCCAATCGCTCCTCGGCGGCGCCGACTTTGACACGGCCTCGCAGCGCTTCGGCTATCCGTTCGGCCTGATCATTTTCTACTTCTGGAACTTCTTCGCGATCATCATCCTCGTCAACGTCCTCATCGCGCTGTTCGGCACAGCCTACAGCGAGGTGTACGACAATGCCGTTGACGAGTTCATCACCTTCTTCTCCGGCAAGACGGTTGACATGAGTGAGTAGGGTCTCTCACCCAGCTTTTCTCTTGTTCAACCAGCTAACGCCAGTCCGCGCGCCTGACTCGTTCGTCTACCTCGCTCCCTTCAACCTGATCGAGGCGTTCCTCGTCGCCCCGTGGGAGTTCTGCCTCACCAAGTCGCAGTATGTTGCGCTGAACCGCTTCGTCATGCGCATCGTCTTCTGCGTCCCCCTGACCATGATTGCCCTCTTCGAAAGCCAGATCATGCACTCGCGCGGCGGCGTCGGCGGCATGATCCACGACTACTTTGCCGAGCCCATCCCCGAGGACGACGAGGACCCCGATGTTCTCGACCCCAAGGGCGATGACGAGGGCGAGATCTCCACGGTCAAGTTTGAGGACCTCGCGAAGAGGCTGCCTAAGTGAGTACACCCCGAGAGCCCAGGGCAGTGATTGCCGTGGACCTGAGGCAGCTACTTCCTCAACGAAAGACAGCTGACAAGCAGCACGACCGTGTCCAACTCGAGCCTCATCCTCGGCGAGCTCAAGAAGATGAAGGGAAACCTCGACACCTTCGAGAAGCAGGTTCGCTCCGGCAACCTGGACGTGAAGGTGGAGGAGGTGAGCGATTAGTCTGGCCGCCGGGCTGGGACAATCGCACACCCTTCTGCCTCCACCCTGCAGTTGCGTCCTACAAGAGGCGCATCAACAGCAATATTCAGAACAATTCATGAAAATTTCAGTGCCACTTCTTTTCGTCTTTTACGTAGTTTTGCGGATGCATCGTGCTTCGCTCACTCTACTGCCAACGGGCATCTGGAGATGTGCTGATGGGGAGTCGAGAACAGAGAATGACGTTCCAGGTGATCACAGGCGATCACGGGCGATCGGGGCTGAACCGTTACTGTTTCAGTGCCGCGTGTTCTGCGCCCCCGCAACGCCCTCGCTGTGAGTTGACCAACGTCTGACGTGTCCCCTCGACACTATCTAACTTCCTTCACTGTACTCATTCAAGAGCTCAGATGGTGCGTTGACGTCTTCACAGTGAGTCTTCCCTGTTCTGTCGTCGCTCCGTGGGCCAGGATCGCAGTAACCAGCTACGAGTTTCCTGATGTGACCAGCTGACAAGACAGGCCTGTTGTGTCCTGGATCCGTTCTCGTCACCACCACCGTCAAAAACGCAGGATAGCGGGTGGCAAGCTGAGTGAGTGCTCTTGATCCAGCTTTGTGACTCCGACGTCCTAGCTGACGATTCAGCTTTCCCTCTCGTGACTCGACTTCATCTATGAGTGGCAACTGTCTCTGGCCCAGTGGCTAACGCCTCTATGCGGAGAGTGTCCGCCTTAAGAGGCGAAGGCAGCAACGTACCGCCTCGTGGGCTGTGTTTTTTCAACTGATAGCTAACAGCTCAGACTAGGTATCCAGGACAACTAAGGGCCGTTTACTCCCCGGTGGGTCTCTCGGGCCACGGACAGGCTTCAGAGGAAGTGCAGCGCCTTGTCCCAGCTAGTTTCGGCACCGCCTAGCTGACAACTGCAGGACTGCACGCCAAAGTGATCTTCTTGTCCATGTTGGGCAGCGCGACTGAAGAGAGTTGCAGTGCACGGTGAGTCACGCGAGCTGTGTCTGCTGCATGGGAGCACACGGTAGCGTGGTCCAGCTAGTTGTTCGAGGACATAGCTGACAAGACAGCGCCCCTGGCCTGGCCAGAGTCTGCTCAGATTTGCTTATCCACTCAAAAGCAATAGATCAGGTGAGTGCTCGAGCTCAAATGTCCATATCCCAAATTAGAGCTGACACCCAGGCTACTTACTCGCATGTCACTGTTTCCTAAGTCCTCACCTTGACTGGGGGCTGATGTCGTTGACGGTGGCAATTGCGCTTGTGGTAGCAAAGTGTGTATCCCAGCTATGTCGTGGACTACGGTCGAGAGCTGACTTCGCAGACTGGTCTTGTAAGTCCTCCGTAGCTTCCGTTCCTCCAAGGTGAAGCTGAATTATCGAACAGTGGGCGGAACACGCTGCGCTATGACCCAAGATGCAGCAGTGAGGCTGCGAAAGGTGGGTGCCATGCGCCAGCTGACCGAACCAGATAATGAACTGACAAAGAAGCCGTTCGCCCTTCATGGATATTTTGATTTTCGTTCTTTTATCATCCTCCACACAACGGTGAGTAGAGCTTCACTGTTCCTTCGTGGGCCACTTCAGCTGTCCGATCCTCTCGGTTATGGCCAATCTCGCGGACTGCTCAACGCGACCGGGAATACATCTCGCCGCTCCCACATGCTTCACGCCGAGTAATGACTTCGGTACAGAGTCCGTTCTCCGAGCGGTGTGTTTCCAGTATTGAGGCAGAAAGTCCTTACACGTCAGCTTCCTTACCTAGGAGTTGAAGCTGACAAGCCAGGACACTGTTCTGTCTACCTTTCAATGCTCTCTCGCTTCTTATCCGTTCACCGCATCGACCGCTTGAGGGCTTTGTGATACGTTCACCGCATCGGCGGCTCGAGAGCTCATGGTGCTCCCCACGTTCTGCACTGAGGAAGTGGGAGTCGGCTCAGCTATCCTCAGCCGTCTAGCATGGCTATTCCCACAGGGCTTTGGCGCAGTCTACCCTGACCTCCTTCCTCCGTCCACCCGCAACTCTGTCGCGTGCCGCCTCATCGCGAGCTCCCGCAGCCAGACCGTCGTCCGGAGGTGTTGCTGGCTCGTCTCTGGCTTCGGCCATCGAGGTGCCGGACTCCGACGGAGAGTCCGAGCTCCTCTCGCCGAAGCAACTGCAGCATGAACTTCCGCAGCTCAAGATCAAGGTCGAGGTCGAGCCGACGGCAACGGTTGCACAGCCCTCCGCCACCTCGCACAACTCCGAGAGCAAGGTCGTTACGCCACTGCGCTGGACTGGGCTCGTCTGGGGTCTCGACCTTTGGGCCATGGTCGTCGACCACGCGGACCCAGGCGTTCTCGCCGCTGCGCTGGTCTGGTCTGGTCTGGTCTGAGGTCTGGACATTTGGGCTGGGACCTGGACATTTGGGCTGGGGTTTGGACATTTGGGCTGGGGCCTGGACATTTGGGCTGGGGCCTGGTCCTCTGGGCCATGGTCATAGACCACGCCGACCCAGGCGTTCTTGCCACTCTGGCTGAGGTGTCGCGTAGAGTGCGCACCGTTGTCCTGGGCCGCCACAAGCCCCCTTTTGCCAACTCCTCGGATAAGAAGGTCCAGACGACGGACTTGTCTCACGTGAGCACGACCTGTCTTCTATGCTGACGCGTTCCAGCTCGGGGTCAAGCTCAAGGACCTGCGTATCTGCAAACCCGAGACCGAGATCGCCAAGGCGAAGCGCCTCCTGAAGGAGGTGAGTCAACCGCACGGACCGCCAGCGATCGCTTACGTAAGGCCAAAGCCGACCTCAACCATACACTGGACCGAATCCACCAGATCTCCAGCTATGGGTACGGGGCCGGCGAGTCGTTCTACGCTGTAAGCACGTCTGCCGCACCCTTTACTAAAAACAGTTAATTGGGACACAGACGGGCGACTCCTTCCGGCGCAAGGCCGAGCTCGATGCGGTTCAGGTGACTGAGCTGGCTGTCGAGGGCTCCGCGGACGGCACCGAGGACGCGGACACCAATGGCAAGGGCAAGGTCAAGGGCAAGGGCAAGGGCAAGGTTAAGGGCAAGGGCAAGGGCAAGGTCAAGGACAAGGGCAAGGGCAAGGGCACGGCCGAAGACGATGAAGAGGAAGTGGAGGAAGGCGATGAGGGGTTGGAGCTGAACATTGACAACGACGACGCCGACGCCACGTATGCGGACGCGTTCGACATCGAGATGGAGTAGGACAATCGCACCACAACTCTCCCATATGCCATCTGTTCCTTCAACGTAGAACGTTCCATAGTTCAAGAACAGCATCGCTGCATAGTATGGGGACCTCAACATGAACCAACACATCGCCTGCAGCGCGTCCGACAAGCCGGATATGCTGGTGAGCTTCGGGGTCCACGCCTTCGCAGCTGACAGCAGAGTCATCATAATGAGGGGACGCAGAGCCCTCCTTGTTACTGCAGACCGAAGAAGACAGTAGATCTCTTGCACAGCGCTGCGAGGCCGTAAGCTTAGCCGCAGTCTTTCCAAGCTGATACCTAGCTTCAGAAGGCGGCATCCAGGTTGACAAACCAATGTCGACTACGATCACACGAGGACTGGTCATGCTTGGTGGCACTCGCTAAATATCTAACCAGGAAATAGCGTGTGACCTTAATGCTCCATGTCCTTCAAAATGTCCTTCAATTGACACCGGAACAGGGATGTTCGTCAACGGCTCCAAGGAGAAGTGTCGCAGCATGGTTCATCTCGTGAGTCTCAGAAAGGGATATCCATCGGGCGCCTCACAACTCTTCTCGGCTTGTACAGCTATGATGTAGTTCTCTTAGCTAATCTCAGACTCATTGTTCACAAGCGCTCTGCTGTCGTCACAGTCGATTTTCTGTGTGGCACTGGGTAGCCCGCCCGGTTTCTCAACGACCCCACGGCTTGGACTCGTGGGAAAACGTCCTCGCTCGGTCGGAAAACGAGCCGCCTCGAAGAGCATAGCTTTCCAGCACGCCATCTCTAACTGACAGTACGGCTAGTCCACAGGATTGGGCAGGAACCACCAATAGCAAACTGCCGGAGGGGTTCAGCTGTCCGTATCCATGTGGAAAATTGACTTGCAGGTAAAGCGGCCGGCAACACGCATCGGAAAACCGCAGGCAGGTGTAGCTTCTGGATATCTTGATCAGCTAACGTTGCAGACCTTAAATGAGGGAGTGTTATACCAACAGTTGCCAAGTCGGACCGATCAAAGACCGCAACATCCAGCTGAAGGTCAAGCTGCGCAGTTCCAAGCGTCTCCACATCCGCCTGAGCTGAGCTTAAAGACAGCATGGAGCTCTAGTGTCTGACACGCACAACAAGGTACAGCTCGCCATCAGCAAAGCCGGCTGACACTGCAGAGTTTCTCTTGACGGAGCCCTCTGAGAGGTCCGACTGTGCGGAGAACAGCGTGGAAGATGTCGCGAAGCTCTGTAGACACCAACATCAGAGCTCGGAGATGGTACAGTTTTCGATCTTTTGTTGGAACTGACCACAGACTCATCCTCAGCTCAGCCCTCGAGTTCACCGGAGGGTACAGCTCCTTGTACCTGAGACCCAGCTGACTTCACAGTTCCCGCCGAGTAGCCAGCACGGAAGTGGTGGCAAAGTGATGGCTTTCCCGTGAAGCAATGAGCCAAGGTTGCCCTCCACGAGGGTAGTCCATCGTCGACAGGTAGGACAGCTTGCCACGGAGGTGTGAGCTGACCTTGAAGGTTCGAGATCGTTTCGGTGGGTTGGGATGGCTGCTGTACAATGCCATCCTGTCCAGCTGATAACTCAGATGCCTGCGCTCCTGAGCTTCCAACTTGGCAATGTGAGTAGTGCAGGTGCAGCTACCCATAGCTGGAGAGCTAAAGACCAGTCGCCAAGGGCGGAGCCTCAACGGTGGGTGAGCAGAGCTTGCGGGCCGTATAACAAGGTGACATGGCAGACCACATTACCAACGTAAACCTACCAAGCCAACGTTAGTTTACAAGGTCTGCATCGCGAACTGACGTCAGCCTGCCACTTTTCCTCTCCTGAAGACGCTGAATCTGCCCCATCGACCATAGTAGGACGGCCCAGTGCGATCGCCAAGCGTCCCCAGCATCGCACTCGATGCTCAGCTCCATGGCCAGCGAGTGAGTTGAAACCATCTGTGTAGAACTGACCACCAGCCGCAAACACCTCCCATCGCGCCTCATCAGTGACTTCTGTACGGTCACGCTGTGACTGTGTGAGGCATGATGTGAGGTTCAGAAGCCCTCCAGCTAACCGACCACAGTCCATTGGACTGACTCCGGCATCGTTCTTTCAGCCTCGCTTCATTGCCAGCAGGTCAGTTAACAAAGCCCTAAAGAGCTGACGATCAGCCACGACACGCTCTCCAGCAACTTCGACCTCCGTCCGAGGCCAAAGCGGTGCGGTTATGCGTCGAGGATGGCTAACCAACTCCAGCACCATCATGCCAAGTAGCAAGCATCACAGGTCAGTTCTTTCTCTGCGTCGCTGAACTGACAAGCCAGCCCGTCCTCCCACCCGGCCCGACTGCCATGGTCAGTTCCGGTATCATGGTCAGTTCCGATACTGCACAAGGACATAACTGACCCCCATTCTCGCGTTATCCCCTCAAGAAGAGTGCGACAGTGAGTTAATATGAGAGCGTACTTAACTGACCCCCAGCCCACGCACGCCATTGTCAACTGCACATAGTGAGTTGGAGGAAACAGCCGGAGTAACTGACCCCAGCCCCCTCCGTGGAGCCTCAGTGGAGTCTCGGGTGAGTTGGCATAGCTCGCGAGAACGAATTCCCAGTCCTCTGAGTGTTCCGCCCGCTACACGTCGCAGACTCTGGCGTCACAATACGCGATGGTGTGGTTGATTGCATCAATGTTGTGACTAACCATCCCTCAGCCCGTGCACTCCCACAATCTCGCAATCTCCCAACCGCTCGAACGCCGAGGGCTCAGAGAGCAGTGAGTTGTCTCCTGGCTTCCGAAAAACTGATTCTCAGAATCCAGTCCTCTGGCACGCACGCCCAGCACTCACGAAGTCACGAACGTATGGTTAAGTTTACACGTGCGGTTAACCATCCCCAGCTATCCCACTTCCAAGCTAAGCAGAGCGAGTGAGTTGGACAAAGTCTGGCGAAACTGATCCCCAGCCATCCGTCCCGTCATCCTTCTCTAGACTTGTACGTTTGTACGTTTATCCGTTGCGTTGGCGCGCGATCTAACCGGCCGCAGTTACATCTCAGAAGCGAGTGTTTGGCTGGGTGAGTTTACTGGACTGTGACGGAAACTGACTTACAGCATCCTGTCCTGCCCTCCTCGCCGCTCTCGCCGCTCTCGCCGCTGCTCTTTGAACGTGACGACAGAGACGTCAAGTGAGTTCGGAAGTTCCTGCTGTAACTGACCCCGCAGCCTCTGGCACGCCTCTGTAGACACCTATGCACGCACCTCGTTCACTCCCTCTCCCTGTGCAATCTCCATCCCCACGTCCCACTGAGTCGCACTGAGAAATGATCGATCCTGGCTCAAGGACAACAGGTGAATACATAGTCCAACGATAACCCTCTATAGTCAATGGATATGAAGTCAACACAACATCTCTCCTCCTCTCTTCCTCTCTGCTCAGCCGCGCCGAATGGCCCGCGGCTAGCACTAACTGCGCTTCGTCATACTCAGCATCCCGCCTCCGCCGGCATAGCTACTGGACAACGACGCGGTGCCGCTGTCCGGCTCGTCGTCCTCGTCGTCCGAGTCGTCGGCGCGGCGCTGGCGTTTCGGGATCGCGGCGCTGGGGCCGGCGGTGCGCTGGGCCTGGGGTGAGGACGCCTTGGAGTTGCGTCCGCGGCCTTTACGGCCGCTGCTCGACTCTTTCGTGGGTGCGGCACGGTTTCTGCGGTCAGCTATGGTTCCAAGGTATGCAAGCTAGAGTAGACTGAGAGTGAAGGGAAACTAACCTCTTCTTGATCACGTCCGTCTTGAGCGACAAAGGCCTGACCACCCCGTGCAGCTTGTAGAACAGGCCGCACGCGTTGCACAGCGGCTGGCCCTCGGGATCCCTGCGCCACAGCGGCGTGTTCGTCGTCTGGCAGTTGGTGCACATGGTCGGGTTCTCGCCGTCGCCCTCGACCGGCGTCGCATTGCCGGATCGCTTGCCACCTTTCGCAGCAGAGGAGGACTGGCGGCTGTGGCCCCGCGAAGTGCCCGCCGGAGCGGCCGGTGTAATCGGCTGCATCCGCAGAGCGGCAAGATTCGGGCTACTGTTCGAGCGCAGCGGCGGACCACTAATGCGCTGCTGCATGTGCTCTCCGTTCTGCTGCTGCTGTTGCGGGGCCTGGGGAGATTGCGCCGGCGTGTACTCGCTCACGGCGGTGGACGCGGGCACAGACCCGAGCACGTCGGACGGGTTGATGTGCGTGAACGGCGTGGCGTTGCCTTCTCCAAGGTAGATGTGCATGAGCTGCTGGAAGTCGAACGGCGCCTCGCTGTTCTGTTGCACGGCAAGCTGCGGCTGGATCGTGTTCGGGAACAGCGTCGACATGTCAAACGCGTTGGCCGCGGGGTCGGAGCCTTCGCTATTCTCGGTGGCGGGCCACTCGGTCGTCGTCAGCTGCGGCGGCCCAGACGGCTCGCCACCGTTCTCCGGCGGACCGTTGTTCAGATCGAAGAAGTTGTTGTACCCGTCATAGTTGAACGTAAAGTCTGTCGAGGGGAACGCCGCACTCGTGCCGTCCGGCAGTGGGAGGTGGCTGCCGTCGCGCGGCGATCCTTCGGCGGGACGCTTGCGCGACGTGATCGTGCCAGAGCCGTCGAGGTTCGGGCGCACAGTGTGGTCGAAGCTAGTCTTACGAGCCGGTCGACGAGGAAGGAAGCCGTACTGCGGGTGGAAGTTGTCGGGCGTCGGCTGGTACAGTCCGGGGCCAGAGATGCCGGGCAACTGCGCAATGTACTGGTCCTTGCTCTCGCCAGTGCTGCCAGCGTCCGAGAGCTGCTGGTGCAACTGCTGCTGCTGCTGGGCAGACAAGTGATTGTGAAGCTGTCTGGCAAACTCGACGTCGGGTGCAGACGACGACAGCACGTCCTCGTTAACCTCGGGAATCGAATTGGCGGCGCTGAACGCAATTGTGTTCTTTGGGTCTTTGCCGTTGGCGAACTGCTCCATGTTATAGTCCTTCGACAACGGCTGCGACATGGCCATCTCGGCCCCGGGCGCAGCCCACGGCGGGTAGTTGTTCGGCATGGACCGTGCGAATGGTAACAGTGAGGCTGGCGACGGGTTCATGCTCGCGCTCGCGTTGGAAGCCGGGCCGCCCGACGCCAGGAGGCTGTGTGCGTGCTCCTCGTCAAACATTTGCCGCCCACCTCGCTGGTACGTGGACCGCGATCGGGAGCGCGACGCCGCACGCCAGTCGACGGCCATGCGTGACCGGGACCGGGACGCCGCACGCCAGTCAATGTCCATGGCACTAGACATGTCAGCACATGTACGAGCAATGTGAGCTTACCTGGAATCGCGGTTCGCAGCGCTGAATCCGACGACGCGCGACTTGCCCTTTCGTCTTCCACGTTCGCTCTCCTCCTCTGCGGACCCGGGCGGCTGGGGTAAGCCAGGTTCGCGCTCGGATGCTTGACTGAGCTGCAGTGGCGGGGGCTGCTGGTGTGTGGGCGCGGTGGCGAACTGGGCATCACCTTGAGCTTGCTGCTTGTCCTTCGTGTCACTCTTGTCGTCGGGCTTCTTCATGGTTAAGTGCATCATGCGCCAGGTCAGGTTCTCCATCCGTGACGCATGGGGCAGGGTGTACTTGGCCCGGGCATAGGCCTTCCACACTTGCGTCGCTAGCGGATCCTTCTGCGCCATCTGCTCCGGCGCGAGCAAATCCAATGCAGAGGGGCTCGCGGGTCCGGAAGGATCACCCGAGGGACGGCGCCCTCCAAGACCGGGCGACAGGAAGGGCAACCCTGCAGACTGGGGGCTGGTGCTGAGTGGCGAGCGCGAGCTGAAAAAGTCGTCGGCGAGAATCTCGGTCACGACATCGTTCGAACGTTGGCGTGATCCGGTCGTATCGGGAGAAGACGGCCCTGACGCCTTTGGAGTCACGGGTTTACCGCTGCTGCCCGACATAAGTAGCGGCTGCTGCACCTGCGGACTTTGGGCCTGCTGCTGCTGCTGTCCCAGACTCATGCCGATGCCCATTCCCATCCGGATCGCCATCTCCAAGGCATTGTCACCATACTGGGACAAGTGGTCCATGGTGAGTCCGGGCGGGAGCGGCGGCAAGCTCGCCAAATCGACGTGCGGCGCGGGCGACCATGGTGTCTCAGAGTCCTTCGATGTCTGCCGGGAAGCGGGCATCTGTGTTGACGCAGAATACTTGTCTGCGGTTCGGGGCGACGGAGTGGGGGGCGCAGGCGGTTGAGGGGCTTCGGCACGACGGGGCTTGATCGGTCGGAACTTGGACGACACCGACGACGACTGGGAAGGGAATTAGCGCTAATCGACTAGCGGATCGGATGCAACTCACGTCTGCCGCGGGGCTAGCAGCATCACTACTGCCAGCGGGCGTTCCCGCTGGCGTCTCCCTATCTTGCCACGAGTGACCAACGTTGGACTGCTTCCGAGACGAGAACTGATTCTGTGCGGGCATAGGACCTGTCGTGCGAGGTGGCGGAACAGCGAATCCAGCGGAGTCTCGGCTCTGGCGCTGCTGTTGGCTGTCGCCGGCCTGCTGCTGGATGCGGCGCGTTAATAAGCTAGTCGCCTGCTGTTGCTGCTGCTGCTGCTGGGAGGACGACGACTGAGGAGACTGAGCAGGAGGAGCAAGCTGGCCCTGCAACAGTTGCATGATAAGCTGCTGGGCCTGCTGGGCCTGCTCCTGGGCCTGCTTCGCCTGTTGCTGTTGCTGCTGCTGGGTCTGCTGGGCCTGGATGAGCAGCTGGGCTAGTGACTGGCTCGCGGCCGCCTGGAGCATCGGCTGCTGCATCGGGGAAGGCGCGGACGGCTGCTGGGGCGAGGGATGGTTCTGCTGCTGCTGAGTCGCCTGCATCGCCATCGTCAGCGCCGCGACGAGGTTCATCGGCAGCGGCGAGTTGCCAGCGAGGTTGTTCGCCTGCTGCTGCTGTTGCTGCTGCTGAGCTTGCTGCTGTAGCCGTCGCTGGTTCTGCTGCTGCTGCTGGCGTTGCTGCTGTTGCTGCTGATGCTGGTGCTGCTGCTGTTGCTGCTGGTTCAACAATTCCGCAAGGTTGGCGAGCAGGTTGTGATCGCCGTCATAGGAGGAAGCATTGCTTGTCGGGTTCAAGTTCTCAGTCTGACGCTGCTGCGTGTTCCAGTTCTGGTCAAGGCCTGGAACCTCAAACTGCGGCTGCTGGTCACCGTTGAGTGGCCAGGGCGACTGTGGCGTGTCATTGTTAGGCACTGAGCCCCGGTGCTGGCGGGCGGCCGCGTACTGTGCGGCAAAGCTTTGGGCGTTGGGCGTAAACGAGTTGGCAGACGTGCCTAGGACAGAGGCGACATCCGACGGCGATGTCATATCCGCAAGGAAGGAGTCTGCACTGGCAAAGCTGTCGTACCGCTGCTGCTGCTGAAGCGGCCAGCCCTGCTGCTGCGACTGGGAGGGCGAGGCCGCAAACTGAGACGAGTTGTTGCTCCGGTTGCCATTAATGTTGGTGGGAATCGCGGTCGCCTGCGGACTCATCGTGCCGCCGCCGTCGACGGTGAAGCGGCCCTTCTTGGACCCGCCTCCGCTCGAAGTTCGCCACGGCTTCACAGTCATCTTACTGCTCGAGCCGGCTGCGGCCTGTGAGCCGCTCGCCGACGAGGAACTCGCCTGCGCCGTCGCTTTCGGGCGCGGGGCGATGGGTCGCGGTAAGATTGCTCTTCTTCGTGACGCCGACGAACTGGTGGTGGTCGTAGACTGGGGACTGTCCTTCGAGGCGGTTGACCGGGGAGACAACGCACCGAAGGGAGAGGTGTGATTTTCGGCAGAAATGGTGGCTGTAGATGAGGGCTAGATGGGCTAAGACGTCAGCAACAGTACGAGGAGGGAGGATCACGATGCCGGGCAGATGCCGCCGCCGGTGTCTCGATAGGGTGATGAGTAACCGGCGACCTTTGGCCAGATCCTTTCGACTCGGTGTGCAAGAGTGCGCGCAAGAGTACGTCGCTCGGAACAGCAGATCACACGATCCTTGCTAGTTGTGAGGGCCAGTGTCACAAAGTGCGAGAGCCGTGTGCCAATGGACGTCGGCGTGCTGATTCTGAGCGGCGTCCGCGTGACGGTCTTGGATATCCGAGGAAGGCGGCGTCGGATGGACTGACCTGCGGTCGTCGGGGAAGAGATGCAGTTGACGATGAGAGATGCGGCCCGAGACTCAGTCGCGCTAGAGCGCTATGGGCATGCGACTGAGCGGCAAAAGTGTGGAAAGGGATATGAGAGGGGGTTGCTCTCGC